TCTCTTCAGTAGCTCGGCCTTCACGGAGGCCAGTGCGTCCCTGTCTGCTGTGGCGAAGACCAGGTCGTCGACGTAAACAAGGATGTAGAACGGGGTCTGGCCAGCACGAACGAAGAGCGAGGGGTCTGCAGAGGACAGAAAGAACTGCAGGTCAGCTAGCGTAACACGCAGCGTGTCGTGCCACTCACAGGGAGCCTGCCGCAGGCCGTAGACAGGGCACCGCAGGAGCCACTGGGTCCCACGAGGGAAGGTACCAGTGAAGCCCTGAGGGCGGCGCACGTAGCGTGCCTTGAATACAGGCAGCTCCCCAGGAGGGCGCTTCACCTTGAAGAGCCAGCGGCCATCGACTACGTTCACCCCAGGTGGGGGAACTGCGTCGACGTAGATGCCGGTGGATCTCCAAGATGCCATCTCCTGCTCCATGGCAGCTATCCACTGAGAGGCCCAGGGTACTGAGACCGCCTCAGCGTAAGTGCGAGGGGTCGGGATGTCGAAAGCGTCGGGGTCACCCTCAGGGACTAGAAGCATGGAACAGAGATGGGGAGCAGCCTCGGACAAGAAAGCAACCTCATACTGGCGGTCCTCCAGGACGTCATTGCCGAGGGCAGGAGCACCCCGACTAACGGAGGACAGGCAGGGTCAGAGACCAGAGCGGTGGCGTAGTCAAGGCGGCAGGTAGAGGCAAAGTCAGCGACCGCATCGACAAGGGAGTCAAGGCTTGAAACCAGCGGCAGTGGCGGCCGGAGGCGAAGCAGCGACGGAAGCACCAAGGCTAAACAAAGCAGGGGATCCTACGCCTGACGCAGCAGGGGAGTCTAAGCAAGGCACACCTATACTAGGCAACAAGGGGTAATAAGACGGAAGCACACTAGAGTCATCAGCATACATCACATGCAGAGCAGTAACAATCGCATCCATATCAACATCAAATATCTGAACCCTACGACGAAGCAAACTGTGCCAGTCTGGGAGCCTGGGCGACGGGCCGAAACGCTGACGAAATAGGTCATCCAGGCGACGGAAACAACGGACGGAGGTGTGACCGATCTTACCACAAACGAAGCCACGACGAGGACCGGTCTGGAGCAGGTACTGAAAGCGCACGTAACCCGAACCACCACCTGGCAGTCCACCACGCGCACCACCACCACGTCCAGCGCTACCACCAACGCCAGGCCACCCGGGCAGGAGACCACTCGCCCGTCTCTGCTGCGGCTGCGACTGCTGCGGCTGCGACTGCTGCGGCTGCTGCGGCTGACACGAGTGGCTGCTGAGACGGCTGCTCGGCTGCACCTGGCAGGGTCCCCTCGTCCGCACCACCACCAGGAGAGCCAGCTTCAGCACCACCTACACCTGCACCCCCACCCCCGCCACCATGCCCAGCCTTGAAACGGCGACCCTTCGCCGGACGGACCTGTGCTGCAGCGGCAGTCTCAGCCACAGCAGCAGAACCGTCGCAGAAAGTGCACTGAGTGGGGGCGCAACCCAGAAAGATAGGGACTGGCACAGTACCGCTGGTCTGAGCGATAGAGCGGTGGCAGGCCTCTATAGCGGACAGGGTGTCAACAAAGTCAGTGAGGGTGAGGTCTGCGGGGTGGGCGCTAAGGAAGTGGTCACGGGCAGTGGCAAGACGGTCAGGAAGGCGGGTGGCTAGCAGGTAGAGAGTAAAGGTGAGGGGCGGCTGGTGGGCTAGAAGCTGTGTGGGAGTGCAGGCAGCACGCTAGGTCTCGTCTATAGTGCAAAGGTGAGCGGCCAGGTCGGCGACAGTGGGGAACGACGCAAGGTCAGGGAAGAGCATGGGGAGGATCAGACGACCGACCGAGGCAGCAGACGGGGTGGAAGAGCGCTGGACAATAGCATCTAGGAAAGCCTGGGCAGTGTTGATAGACCTGAAGCGAGGTCGCTCGGACAGGAGGAGGGCATTGCTAATGGCAAGCTGTGCGACAGCGTCACGAGACAGCCAGACAGAGCAAGCAAGGGCAGCGGCCACAGCGGACTCACGCTCAGCGGCCGAGGGATCAGTAGACAGTGAAGCGGGGGGGTCAGGGCAGGGAAGAGTACCGTCAAGATGGACAGACAGAGAGTGGCCATCCTGCCGCTGACCTGTGAGGTGGCGACGGAGGTCAGCAAGCCACGCATCAAACTCAATCGGCAGGCCCTCAGCGTCAAAGCGAAGCACCTCCGCCATCAGTGACAATAGAGGGCAGTGGAGAGCAGTACAGTGTGGTGCAGTGCGGCGCAGTGCGGTACGGTGCGGTGCAGTGCGGTGCGGTGCAGTGCGGTGCTGTGCGGTACAGTGCGGTGCAAGGCAGATTAGTACGGTACCGGGGGGTTCGCAGGGCGGTGCTGATCGGGAAGAATGGGCCGACCTCGAGGCGGCGGCGGGCTGGCGACGACGCGAATGCCGGGGCGGGCCGACGGGCGACGGACGCGAGGGGCCAGCAAACGGCGGCAGCAGGGGGGGTGGCGGCTAGGAGCTGGTGCGACGGCGAGTAGAGCCGGCCGCGACAGCGGCGAAGGACAGCCGCGACGGCGGGAGCGACCGTGGGGCGGCTGGAGACGGCAGCGACGGCAGCTAGGGGCGGCCACGACGGCGAGGGGCGGCCGTGAGCCGGCTGGAAGCGGCCGCGACGGCAGCTAGGGGCGGCCGCGACGGCAGGAGCGACCGTGGGGCGGCTGGAGACGGCAGCGACGGCGGCTAGGGGCGGCCGCGACGGCGAGGGGCGGCCGTGAGCCGGCTGGAAGCGGCCGCGACGGCAGCTAGGGGCGGCCGCGACGGCTAGGAGCAGGCGCGACGGCGACTAGAAACAGCTAGGGGGGCGGCTAGGGGCGGGCGCGACGGCTAGGGGCGGCCGTCTAGAGGCGGGCGCGAACGGCCAGAGGGCCAGCTAGGGGCGGGCGCGAAAGGCCAGGGGGGCCGGCTAGGGGCGGGCGCGACGGCCAGGGGGCCGGCTAGGGACGGGCGCGACGGCCAGGGGGCCGGCTAGGGACGGGCGCGACGGCCAGGGGGCCGGCTAGGGACGGGCGCGACGGCCAGGGGGCCGGCTAGGGTTGGTCGCGAACGGCCAGGGGGCTGGCTAGGGGCGGGCGCGACGGCCAGCGGGCCGGCTAGGGACGGGTGCGAACGGTTAGGGGGATAGCTAGGGACGGGCGCGACGGCCAGGTGGCCGGCTAGGGACGGGCGCGACGGCCAGGGGGCCGGCTAGGGTCGGTCGCGAACGCCCAGGGGGGCGGCTAGGGGCGGGCGCGACGGCCAGGGGGCCTGCTAGGGACGGGCGCGACGGCCAGGGGGCCGGCTAGCGAAGGGCGCGACGGCCAGGGGGCCGCCTAGTGTCGGTCGCGAACGCCCAGGGAGCTGGCTAGGGGCGGGCGTGACGGCCAGGGGGCCGGCTAGGGACGGGCGCGAACGGCCAGGGGGCCAGCTAGGGAGGGGCGCGACGGCCAGGGGGCCGGCTAGGAGCGGGGCAAGATGGTGGCTAGGGCCTAGGGGCGGAAGCGTGTGATACCATATCAGAATGAATAATTGAACTAGAATGTGTGAGTACAATGGTATATAGACTAGGGTGTTGTACCTTCTAAGGCACAATCCAGAATAGTCTACAGTAATGACCTAAGTTACATTTGACAAGTGTCTTTAACATTCAGGGCAGGCCCTTAGTTATAAGGCTTTTTACGCTGATTTTATCGTTTTCAAGGTGTTCTCTTGTACCGACCCTGATGAATCAGCCTTGAAAACGAAAGAACCAGGGCCAACAGGAAGAAAACCACTACCAAAAACTGATTTTCAGGGTGTTTCTTGAGATCGACACTGATCAATCAGCGTGGCCTAAAATGAATCTGAGGGCCTGATTCAGGGACATCGCCGAACATTTTGCAGGTAGGTAGTACATTACATCTGATTCAAGGTCTGTACGCGCTGTGCTCTGGAAACTCAGTAATGGCGATGTGGGAATGGCGTGGTGAGTATGCTAATATATTGAGAAGGCTATTGATGGGCTTTACACCGTTTGAAGTCAAGAGCTATCGATGATGCATATTTGTAGTTTTTGTCGTGTTACACATTTTATAACCGCATCAAATTAATTTGCGCCTAAAAATGGATGGTGATTTCCATCTAAAATGTTGTCACAATTTGTATGTGCTCGATTTTGAAACATACGGTAGTGAAAATTAATGACCCCTTTTGACATGTTCAGCCTGAGCTTGTAAGGGGTTCAACTTCATCTGCATGCTCTGCGACTCGCTGCGACATAACGGGCCTAATAACCCCTCAGCGCGGCAATGTGTTTGAGGGCTCAATTCGGAGTCGCACAGCCGTGTCGCTGAGCCGAAGCTGTCGGTCGGTAGTCTAGAGAGGCATGACAAATCGATCCCCGTCACTGTCCGTGTCGGGCGGGGGCGTGGTTCGGGGCTGGGGGAGGTTTTGGGGGGAGGGGGAGCGGTAGGGTGAGGGGAGAGGGGGGCGTGTCTGACGGGACCCGTGCGAACTAGGCTTTCAGCGGTGGCTCCTCCAAACTTTCGTGGCTGGGGGCTTGGTTGGGTGCCATGGGCCAAGGCTGCAAGCACAACCTCCACTTCGAGAGAAACTGCACATGTCTCTGCGCCTCGAAGGACCAGTGTGGCGAAAAATCCAGTTTTCGCAGAGTTGCGCAGGACATGTAGGCTGTCAGCCGTTTCGTTCCCCCTTCGGACGAAATCGTCGCACGGGTATCAACCCCAGTCGTCGGGTCGCAGCATTTGGTCGCTCAGTGGGACTGCTGTTCTGTCAAGGCAGGTGTGCCGTGGCCGAGCATGCCCACCAGCCAGGTTCGAAACAAGGCTCGGAAGTCACAACGCGAAATCGACGGTGGAAATGGGGTCGCTTTGGTCTCGAATCGCCGATTGTTTGCAATTCGTGGTCGTGGCGCCAATAGATGGGAGATGAAAACCAAGCAGGCAGCAGAACGCAAACCAACATAGGGACTCCCGCCCACGCAAACTCATCAGCTCGTATCGAAACCTCGAAGCCAGTAGTCTCTTCTACGGCTACTCCATTTCTCACGCCAATTTCCTAGTTTTCCAGCTCGCTCGTTTTACTTCTCGATTCACCGACTGAAAATTCCACTCTGTCGCTTCTTTGTGCTGTTCTCAGCGTCCCTCACGCCTTCAAGCTCTCACTCGCAATCCATATATTCAAGCAAGCCTAGCCTGATCACTCAAACCTCAGCGATCCCTCTCCCACCAGCCGCCATGGCCACGATACGGTGGTCTCAACTATACTCCCTCCTCACAGTCGCAGCCCTCGTTGCGACAGCGGTCGCAGCAAATCCGTCTGCGACGCCGTCGAGCGCCGTCGCAGAGCAGCTCAATTCCGCAGGCTTTTCCGGGTTCGTCAAGCTCCTCGAATCCGCCGACTTGCTCCAAATGGTCCACGACAAACTAAAGACAGGCGATGTGACCCTCTTCGTCCCTACGAACGAGGCGCTCATGTACCAGATATCCCCGGCCGTCCTCGCGTTCCTGAAAGCCCCGCGGAATAAAGCCCTCCTCCGTCAGGTGCTTTTATTCCACGTTGTCTCGGAGCATATCTCGGCTTTCCAGTGGGACGGGAAGCACACGTCCCTCGAGGGCTCCCCCGTGGAGCTCCGCATGGATGCGCTCGCGTTTTACGCGGCGAACAACCCGGTGAAGCAGTACAACGCGATCACGCTCGAGGAGGGCGCGGTGGTGCACTCGATCAAGGGGCTGCTCATCCCGCCAACCGCGGAGAGCCTGCTCGTGAACATCCAGAGCGACACTGACCAGGACGGGCGGCGAATTCTGGGTGACGCCGCCACCGCCGCCGTCGCCGCTCCCCCGTCCGCAGCCCCGCCTCCCCCGCCCGTGGATACCAAGCCCGTGCCCAGCATGCCTCCCCCTGTTCCTTCTCCTCCTCCTCCGCCCTCGTACCCTTCCGGCCCGCCAATGAAGCCGTCCGCAAGTGAGAATTCCCCCGCCCTTTCATTCCCTCCCCTGCTCCATCCCTCTTCTCGACACGCCCTTTCTCTTCCCCCAACTCTCCCAACTCCTCCCAACTCCTCCATCCGCTCCACCCCTCAACTCTCTCCCCTCCCCCCTCCTCCCCCCCCTGTTCCTCGTCGTCTCGCTTGGCTCCTCACACGTTCTCCCCGCAATTCTTTGCTCGCTTCATGCACTTGCCAGTCCAGCACCGATCTTACACTCCTAGTTCTGCGTTTCATGCCAGACCATCTCATGCCTCTCTCCCCTTGTATTCCCCCTCGTGTAATCTCGCCTCCTCCCGCGTGCAGGATTCACCTCCGGCGTGCAATGGATCTCAACGGTGGGGGGAGCCATGCTTCTGGCGCTCCTCTTGTAGTCAACGGTTCCGCCCTCGCGCGCTCAGGGCATGTCGCTCCTGTAGCTTCAGCTTGTTCTCACCGCTTTCTGATAAGAAAACCAGAAGGTCTTAGGCAGGATGTCGCTTGGCCATTTAACGGGCCTCGAATTAAAGGTACGCAGGAGGAGCCCCATGGACGCTTGAAGACTTTCCATCGTTGCGGGCTTTTCTTCCCCTTTCACTTAGGTAGTGACATAGGAGTACGTTGCGATTGACTTCAGTGTAATTGCGATTGACATAGGAGTTTCAGATACTACCACTGCGCGGCACCTAAGTGTAGTGCGCTGTCCCTTTCACTGAAAGCTGATGACTCTTAACCACTGCCTGAAGGGTTATCAGCTGACAAACAGCCAGCCCCCCTGACAACAATAGCCTCTGAGTCTCTGAAACCAACATACACGACCAGTCTTTCCGGGTTTTGGGCCGTTGACAGTAGGACTAATGCCTTGAGCGCCAAGTACAGCGTGTTCCTATGGAACCTCTTCCCAGGCAGGCGCACTACGGCATCTGCATGTGATCTGTCCAGCTACTCCGCATTGCCAGAAAGAACAGCCATAGGAAGCAGTTCACCCATCAGAACAGCTCCCAATACAGGACTTCTCGTAGTACGGCTGTGAGGTAATACTTCGCTTATGTATGCAAGCCCAATCTACGTCTGGCACTAACAGAAAGCAGTCCTGACATGGGACATCATTCCAGCATAGAAGAAATGTCATCCATCCATCTGTCTAGCGTCCGCCTCAGCCTTCCACACGCACTGGTAAAAGAAAATTTCTTTAGTAGGACACAGAGCACCCGTAATGTAGGCTCGTTCTAAAGCCAAAACCCTAATGAATTCATTTATCAACACTTAAACCCCTAGAATTCCCCCCCCCCCCCTAACCCCGGTTCTGTAGTTTCCTCCCTGACCCCAGGCGCAGCCTTATTTAGCTGCTGCAGCTGGAGGAGCAAGCGCGCCAACAGGAGGCGCTCCAAGGAGCCCCTGTTGCCCTTCTAGGTCCATCAGCTGCTGCTCGCGGTCCATCTCTATGATAAGCGGCACGCATAGGATTAAGAACGTCGTCCCCGCGATCCACGCCGCCTTCCCCGTGCTCCATAGTAGCTTACGACCCACCACGTTACTCCCCGATGCCACCCGTTTAAGCCTCGCCGTTAGCCAATGCTCCTGCGTCAGATGAGCGAAAGTGGGGGGGAAGAAGATGAAGGACGGGCAAGGGAGAAGGGGGGAGGGAGAGGCGGGTGAAGGGTTGATAAAGGAGATTTAAGGACGGTCAAGGGAGAAGGGAAGGGGGGGGGGGGGAGGAGGGAGGAGGGAGGGGGGAGGCGTGTGAAAGGTTGACTGGAAGCTAAACGGCTAGGCGGGAATGGGATCAGAAGCGAAGGAAATGCCTACTGGAATTAGATCGCATGCGGTAGGATCAGCTTTATACAGCGTATTGGAGCATAGCGCCCTATCCTAGGGTAAACAAAACGACCAGCAGCCTTCCCCGATCAAACGGCCCTCGCGTAGATCCTCGGAAAATGAGCAGAAACAGGAGGATCTTAGGATGGTTAATAGGGTTACGAGGCGGACGCTTTCAAAATCGCTCAGACCCTGTAAGGATGTAAGGATAAGGCCAGACGTAGCAAGGCTATAGCAAAACCGGTATCAGGACCGGGTCCGGAACGAGATGCTGAGGCATCATCCAGGCAAAATAATTCAGATCCATTACTTCTAAGGGTGGTACCTGCTTGGCTGATCCGGAAGATCCGATGGCTGCCGAAGTTCCTGGCATGGGTGCGCTCTCAGAAAGGGGAGTGGATCACGGCTGATCGGGGGCGTCTATGACGGAGATGAACTTCGAACGGAGACCTAGCCCCCTCAATGGTAGAGAAATAGTGACGGCCGTAAATTATGCCTAACGCGGGAGCTTTAGTTAGGGTTGTTGGGGAGGGGGGAACGGGGGCCGTGGAGGGTGGAATGGAAGGCGAAATGAAGCGAATTTTTCCATCTGTAACAATAGGGGGAGTGTAACTGTAACAGCTGATTACACTTGTTATGAATGAACAAGCAGAGTAGCGCGGAAATGAATAACGAAATGCTCACTCACTGAATGACGATACAAGGAATGGCAAGCCAAGATATAGGAACACCAGAGCTAGTCTAACCATGCGATGGTAAGGTTCGGGAAAGAGATCGAAGGGTCTTGAAGTGACGAAGCGAGGCCCGGAGAACTCCCGAAGGTCGAACCGGAAGGTCTGGAGGAGCTGAGGTGATTCTGTCAGAAAGGTCCGGAACCATCCCGAGGCTGCGGGTATGTTCGAGCGTACGCGATTGCAGTACCGCTCGGTAAGGAATAGAAAATTCCTTACACCACCCCCCCCCTTAGCGAAGGTGATCTATATCAGCCACCTACTTGCGGGCCAAATAAGTCGCAAGAATCGAATGTGACTGTACCTTGTCCGAGGGCACCCACATGTCGTCCTCACTGGTACAATCGGTCCATCGTATCAGGAAGTCAGCGTGTCGTCCTTGGCCGTCGATACGAATCCGATGGCTCAAAATCTTCGAAGGCTCGATGGTCGTCTCGGCTGGTGGCCGTGCATATGGGACCAATTGCTGTCGGGCGATGTCCGACATGTCAGGAACTAAGGGTCGCAACAGGCTCACGTGGAACTTGTTGTGAATACGCCAGTCATCAGGTAGGCGCAACTGGGCGGTCACCGACGTCACCATCTTCATGATCTTGAATGGGCCACAGAAATGTGGTCGTAGTTTTGTCGGTAGTGGCAATCGTAAATTCTTGGTGTCCAACAGGACTAGTTGCCCTGCTGCCATTGTAATATCCCGTCGATGTAAATCCGCATACCGTCGGGCAGTTGCATTCCCCTTGCGAATAAGTTCGGCAGCCTTGTCTCTGGCAGTCTGTAATTCTTCGACGAACTGCTGCGATCGTGGTACTTGACTCTCAACGTTGGTGGAGATTGGCACTGTAGGGTCCATCCCGTAATTGAGATAAAACAGGGAGTGATTAGTCGTAGCCAAGGGCGCGTTGTTGTAGGAAAATTCCAACATAGGTAGCACGTCCTCCCATTTTGTTCGGTCGGGGCAGTTTGTCCGAATCAGCTGCTCCATCATTTGATTCGTCTTTTCAGTATGGCCGTCCGTTTGGGGATGATATGCGGATGAGAACTGTAGACGCGTGCCGTACCAAGCCCACGTGTCCTGCCAGAATTTTGACGTGAACTTCGGGTCTCGATCGCTAATGATTGCTGCTGGTATCCCGTGTAAGCGAACAACGGTCGAGATGAACAGGCGCGCGGTTTCTTCGGCTGTAATGGTTGTACTACATGGTGCGAAATGCGCCATTTTCGTCAATCGGTCGACGACAACCAAGACTGCGTCGTTTCCGCTGGGTCCGGCCGGAAGTCCCGTAACGAAATCCATCGTTACGTATTGCCATGGGCGTTGAGGTGGCTCGAGGGGTTGCAACAGTCCTGTAGGTCGCTGGTGGGATGACTTCATTCGCTGGCAGATCGGACACGCGGCCACGTAACGCTGCACATCTGTCACCATATCTGGCCAGTAATAAAACCGCTGCAACGCCTTCAGAGTTTTATCAACCCCGAAATGTCCCGATAAATTTGAATCGTGGACTTCTTGAATTAGTAATTCGCGAAGTAGACGATAACTTGGGACCCAAATTCGATATGTTCCGCTTCGTAAGTAATAGATGCCTTTCCGTGTAGTGATTGGGAGATGGCCGTCGTTTACGAAGAAGGGGTCAGTCGAATACCCGTGGGTAAATAGTCCACTCAGTAGCGGGTTGCTCTGGCCGACTAGTACTGCTGCGAGTTGGGCAGATGGTCTGGAAAGGGCGTCGGCAATATTGTTGGCGCCTTTTTTATACGTGATGTTGTACGTAAAATTGGACTCCAGATAGTCCAGCCAGCGTATCTGCCGCGGGTTGAGATTCGGTTGCGCTCTCAGGTACTGTAGTGATTTGTGATCGGTTCGTACCGTCACGTCTGCTCCAGTCAGGTAGCACCTCCATATTTTGAACGCATGGACGATCGCCAGCATCTCCGTGTCGTGTACCGGGTAGTTGCGCTCAGCAGATTGCATTTTCCGAGACTCGTACGCAATTGGTTGAAGCCCATTGCCGAAATCCTGCATGAGCACTTCTCCGATGACGATGTCACTTGCGTCGGTGATTACTTCGAAGGGCCGTTCCGGGTCAGCGATGCGAAGTACCGGTGGTGACATTAAAAGATTTTTTAATGCCTCAAACGCAGCTTGCTGCTTCTCCCCCCACTCGTAAAAAGTCCCCTTCTGCAGTAGGTCGGTTAGAGGCCCAGTTAACCCTGCCATGTGGGGTATAAATCGCCGCACGTAATTCACGAAACCCAAAAAGGATTGCAGCTACTGCAGATTTGTTGGTGGTTTCCATTCATGAATAGCCCAGAGTTTTTTCGGGTCTATCCGTATCCCCTCCGTGGAGATCACGTGCCCTAGGAACTCCAGTTCTTGTTTAAAAAACTCGCACTTGGAGCCCTTGGTGATGAGTCGATGCTACTGCAATCGCTGAAAAACCGCTTCCAAATCTTTTAAATGTTGCTCGGGGGTCTTGTTGTAGATCAGGATGTCGTCCAGGTAAATTATCACGCATTTGTCGAGTAGATCGTGGAACACCCCGTTCATGGTGAGTTGGAACGTCGAGGGGGCGTTCGTTAATCCAAACAGCATCACCGTGTATTCGTAACTCCCGTAGCGAGTTCGAAACGCGGTCTTGTGGCAATCGTCAGCGAACACCCAAATTTGATGGTAACCACCGCTAAGGTCGATCTTCGAAAAATAGCGAGCTCCGCGAAGGTTGTCGATTAGTTCGTTTGTACATGGGATTGGGTAGCGCGATTTTATTGTTACCCGATTAAGGGCACGATAGTCCGTACACATGCGAAGTCCTCCGTCCTTCTTTGGGGTGAACAGGATCGGTACTGCGAACGGTGACGTGCTTGGCCGAATAAACCCTTTCGCCAGCAGGTAGTCCAGCTGGTTCCGTAATTCCTGTAGCTCCGGCTGAGTCAGGCGCCATTGCGTGCGTACAGTAGGCTGCGCGCCGGGCTCCAACTCGATCTTGTGGTCCTGGGGTCGTTTGGGTGGCAGTCCACTTGGCAAGTCGTCCGGGAAAATCTCAGGATATTCCCGAATGATTTTCGCCAAGTCATCCGGGACCGAAGCGCAAAGTTTGTTGATGTCGGTCGCCTCGTTCTGCGCCGACGATTCTGTTAGATGGGCGGCGTATAAATCTGCTCCATTCTTGACGCTCGCTTGAGGCACACCGCGTTGACTCGTGTCGACGTTGTCTCTGCTTCCGGCCACGTGGGTAATTTTTGCCATTGTGCACTCGCCTGTGGTCCAATCGATCTGCGGGTTGAATCATCGCAGCCAATCACGTCCTAATAGCACGTCGTAGCCGTCGAGCGTTGTCGCCAGCATCGGCGCGCTGAAACCAAAATCTTCGCCACCCTTCATTCGAACGACGGGTGCTTTGTCGCGTATCGCCAGGGGGGTGCCATCCACCAATCGTGCGTCGATTTTGGGCATACACCTCTCCAGCGTCAGGTGTAGTCGTCATGCCGTTTCTCGATTTATCAGGCTGGAACTCGCACCTCCATCGATGAATATTTTTATTTTTCTTCCGTTGAGTCGTCCCTCCGCCAGTACAGGGTGGTCCACTGGGTCATCCCCCTTATTCAGCCAGGAGTGGTTGATAGCATGTATCGGAACCACTACTCTGTGGGGATGGTGTTTTTCGGGCGATGAGGCAGGGTCAGTAGGGGGCCCGACCGCTACTGACGCTTGGCGTTTCCCGACCCGCCTTCGTCGTTCTTCTTTATCTGCTTCTTTCGGGGGCAATCGTGAGATTGGTGACCCGGCTGGTGGTAGTTGAAACATTGTCCCTTGCGAAAGTCTTCCATGTGCTCCTTTGCCACGACGCCGTGAATCGCGGGCCGTGGATTCAGGCCACGAAAACGATTTCCCTCTCAGGAACCCGCTCTCGCATACGTCCGATGTGCGTCAAAGTTGTTTGCGATCCGGACTGCTTCGTGAAACGTCGCCGGAAGTCACAGTCGGACCTCGCATTTAATGTCCTGCTTCAGACCCGAAATGAATCGAGCTTTCTTCTCGGAGTCATGCATGTTGGTGATTTGATCGCATAACGCCATGAAGACCGACGCGTAATCCTGGACATAACTCCACTGGCGCCAGTTGTCCAGCGTCGTGCGTGCGTTGTCCGAGGCGGATATTGGCTCGAACCGTTCACGCAGAGCTGTACCCCACGCCTTCCACGTGCAAATCTTGGTCGATCCAAAAATCGCGGTTGACCCTTGGGCAGCAGACCCAAAGTTTCCGAAAAACCCCTGTGTGTCGCCTGCCGAAAACTCCCCCTCCTGTAGTGTATATCGCCACCAATCTAGCGCAGGTCCCCGCAAAAGTGATACAGCCAGCCGAATTTTTAAATCGTCAACCGTGATCTCAGCGGCATTAAAATAAAGTTCCGCCGAAAATAACCAGCCCGTAACAGTAGTATTCTTATCTGTGGGGTTGAACGGGGGCGGCATTGTCGATTTGATCGTCGCTGTCGTCACGATCGGCATAAACGCCGGTGCGGCTACAGTAGCGGCTGCTTCTGACCGAGCGGCTGCTGCTATCGCTGCTGCTGCTGCTTCGGCTGCTGGTCGTGCTGCCACGTCAGCTGCTGTGGTGGCTTCACTGTCCTTGCACTCTTGTGACACCTCACGTGCGATTTCGTCCAAGACGATTTCGACACGTCCGGTGCTGGTGACCTCCTCTTGGGCGGCAGTTTTCTGGCGCGAATCCTCTCGCGCCTGGCGTAACTCGGCAACTTTTGCACAAAGTCGCTCGTTGTCCTCCAGCACTGTAGCCATATGTGTGTTCATGGCGTTGAACTGCTCCCGAAGCTCGTTGAACTGAGCTTGGTCCATTTGGCGATTGCTCCGTCGGGGCAGGGGGAAATCCGTAATATGCCTGTACTCAGGTAAGCGCAAACGCTATCGTAGTTGGGCGAAGTAATCAGTCTAATTCGCGAGCAACCGCTTTGCAGCTTACGTGAGGGACCTACCCCCCCCCAAAAAAAACAACTCACGAAAACGGGTGAGCGAGGAAAGTGGCTCTGAATACCAGGTGTTATGAATGAACAAGCAGAGTAGCACAGAAATGAATAACGAAATGTTCACTCACTGAATGACGATACAAGGAATGGCAAGCCAAGATATAGGAACACCAGAGCGAGTCTAACCATGCGATGGTAAGGTTCGGGAAAGAGATCAAAGGGTCTCGAAGTGACGAAGCGAGGCCCGGAGAACTCCCGAAGGTCGAACCGGAAGGTCTCGAGGAGCCAAGGTGATTCTGTCAGAAAGGTCCGGAACCATCCCGAGGCTGCGGGTATGTTCGAGCGTACGCGATTGCAGTACCGCTCGGTAAGGAATAGAAAATTCCTTACAAAACTTTTGTTATGAATAATAACTGAGTGTGCACTTAATAATAATGATGACTACAAGAATGGGATGACTAGCAAAAATTTCCATCTGTGATAATAGTGTTATGAATAAAAACTCAGATTATAGCGAAGAATACTATAGGGGAACGTGATTACAATGTGTCGTATCCAAGTGAGACCTATGACTTATATAGTGCGAGTTGACCAGGTTGAATGTCGGCTCGATAGTCCCGAGGGTGACGGGGTCAAAATGGGTTCGGGGCGACTCGGGATCAGGTTGGGGCCGAAAAGGTCGACGGGGGCTGGTTTGGCGCGATAACCAAGGGCCGAGCTTGCGGACGCGCACGGTTCGCGGTACTCACTGTAGCGAGCCCCAGTAAGGAATCGTAATTCCTAACACTCTCCCACCTTCTAAAGGAAGGCACTCCCTTTATCGAGGTCGAACCTTTTATCTAAGTTAATCCCCGAAGTGACTGTATGTCTTCAGCCCTGTGACGAGCGTAATGATTACGCCGGCCTAACAAGGTCTTGAGGTCGAACTGAAATGAATGGTTAGAAAGCGTCGAAACGATCACTTTTAATCTCGGCCATCGAAGATGGTCGAATTCTTTTGCTGACCAAACGGTTAAGGGTAAATACTCCAGCGGAAGACAATGAACAGTGAAACCGTCGAGTGGTCGATTGATGATGGCGCATGGCATCAGGATTTCTTGAAATGATGACGGGTGAATAACGTGATGGTCGATGAAATCAAGAACCCGTTCATCAAACGCGAAGTAGTTCGAGTCACATGCAAAAGCACGCGTCCGTCTCCCACGAAAGTCAGCGAAATCCATCAACGAAGTGACGAAATCAGGTGCGGAAGCGTAACGGTGACGAATGATGCTCGAAGGCGTACCGCGTCAAAAGTCGTAAAATTCCGCAACTACTGCTCCAGAAGACTCCCACACGAACTCCAAATTTCTTCAAAGGTCAAAACACTGCGTGCGAGCTGGCCCCAACACAGCTCTTCAGTATTGCTGCAAAATTATATATAAATCCGATACTCCTCCTGATGGGTGGCGATGATGCGCCGGGGTCGTGTTCACACAATCACGCGTATGAAGAATGGAGGTTGTAGCGAGTGATGGCGAGAGGTGGACGACGATGGCGATGACCTGTAACCTGTACCAAACCACTCCCGTGAATAGCCTCGAACAGAACCCGGTGTCAAATGACTCCAGCTGCATCAACTTCTTTGTCCGTACACGCCGAAAAATTCGGGAAGTGACGAAACAGCTGCTGCGCTTCTCCTCCTCTATGCACCCAAAATATTCAGAGATTATCAGTCGATGTTGCTCGTACCCCTGAAGATAGCGAGCACAACTCCAGCTGTAAACGCTCGAACTGCTCCTCAAACTCACTGAAAATGTCGGAACCACTCAGTACTTAGCAAATACTGTAACTCCGCTTCACAACTAACCGTAAAAATGCCCAGGCGTCACCACGTTTTTTAGCAGCGCCCCCACGGTTTCTCCACCAGCTATACGCATGAACTGAACCCATTTATCTTAGGGTTTACCGGAGTCCACAGCCTCGGCATGATGTTTTGGCCGTCGATCAGGGTCAATGCGCATCATACGCCGTTGATCTCCGCCCATCTATTACCCAACTCTAAAATACTCCGGTTCCCTGTCCCACTGGCCGTGCAGACGTTCACCCATCTCGCGGCTGCTGCAGGTTACCCAAAACCGATTCGCTGCTGCTTAACTAACTAGGAGAATCCGCAGAGACAGGAGTGCCCACGCTTCTAGTAAGAGGAGCTTTAACGAGCTTGCCTACTGACCGCTGGATAGCTCCCTCCTCCGTCGGAAACTCGTCAAACTACATCCGCAAAAGTTTGAGCCTCCTTCTGCTGCACTGGGTGAAAACCCACAGCTCCGCTGCAACAATAACTCCGAAAATTTCGGGGACACTCCATCAGCACAGTGTAGTTTGCAGATTCACCCCCCTTATTCAGCAAGAAGCCGTCGATTAATAAGTCGACACTGCTACTTGGTGGGAATGGTGATTTCCGGGAAATGTAGCTGAGCGAGTAGCAGCCCGAACGCCGCTAACCCATGTGGTCCAGTACTCCCGTCGTTCTTCTCCCAATGCTTCACCTCCTGACAGTTAACGCATTCGACGACCGGTGGAAAAACACTTAATACACATCCAGGGGTGGTGGCCTCCGTTTCCGTTGATCGTGGGGGTATGAATCGCTGGTCCACGAAAAATGCCTCCCCACACGGGAAGTAGCACTCGCTGAGTACACTCACTCCTGCACAGCATTATCTCCTCCAGATGGCCGTCGTGGTGAATAGCGCCGAGGTCATTAATCCCAGCCGCTCCCATACAACTGCACACCCACACATCTGTCAAACTAGAAACTAGGATGCCATAAAAATGGCGTAAGGTTTTAGGAGCTAGGAGGCAGAGATTTGACGAGAGAAAAGAGAGGTGGATTAGAAAGAGAGAGAGGTACAAGGAGGGGTGTTGTGCCCTCTACAGTAATGTTCAGTAACGTCTTCCAAGCCTACAATTATATACGAACATATATAATTTAACAACGTCCTCGTGCGATCGTGTCGTTCAGAAATTGTCGGACCCGCCCATTGCCGAAATAGTTATGAAGTCTCGTCCATCGCCTACAACTAGTCTGCCGGAAACGCTGGGACCCGCAACACAGCTACAGTTCACCCTGCCGCTGCATGGCGTGCCAGACGTACATCGCCGTACATCCCGCCATTTTCGCCACCCCGCGTGCTCTTGACGACCAACTCCCGGCCGCCTGAGGACTCCCGTGCACTTGTCTTCTCCTGACGAAGCCTTCGTTTTTTTCGGAAGCCAATCCGAAGTCTCCGTCCGAACACCCGAAAATTTCGAAAGCTCTAACGAACATACCAAAAAAATACGGTGAAAACATCGTCCACTCTTCGACGGAAAATAGTTCCGTCTACGACCAGGAAAGGGGAGGACCGGCCAATCCCAGCCGTCCATCGGATAGGATCAGACGGCATCGACAACGCCGGCGCAATTAATTTCCGCGACGTCTGCTCTCCATCAGCATCTTTCCGCCCCCTTTCCCGATAGGGCCTGCTCCCCTACCGGAAGCCTAATGGGCAGGAACGTAGCTCTGATACTAGCTGTTATGAATTATAAGTCAAAGTATAGCACAGAATACTATTAGGGGACGTGATTACAATGTTATTTATCCAAATGAGACCTAGGGCTAATATAGTGCGAGTTGACCAGGTTGAATGTCGAGGGTTGGACCAGTCAAGGGCTCGTTAGTCCCGAGGGTGACGGGGTCAAAATGGGTTAGGGGCGACTCGGGATCAGTTTGGGGCCGAAAAGGTCGACGGGGGCTGGTTTGGCGCGATAACCAAGGGCCGAGCCTGCGGACGCGCACTGTTCGCGGTACTCGCTGCGGCGAGCCCCAGTAAGGAATCGTAATTCCTTACAAATAGGGGGAGTGTGACCGTAACAACTGATAACACTTTGTTATGAATAATAACTGAGTGCGCGGAATAATAATGACGACTATAATAATGGCGAGCATTCTAGCTAGGCGATGAGCCCGGAGGGCCAGGTTGGGCACAGGCGCGGTCGAAAGGTTCGGAGGCGGCGCGAGCCAGCCTCGGGGTCGCTTCTGAAACGGACCGAGCCTGGTCTTTCGAGAGTTCGGATGTACGTGATGGTAGTACAAGCCGGTAATGAATAAAATTCCTTACAACTTTTCTGAATTGTAGAGAATGGGGAAATTCGCAACACAGTAGTGGGGTGGGGACTGTCGGATTGGACAGATTCGCGTAGTGTAGCACCCTGGCTCTGCTGCTTGATGATTCACCCAACCGTGTTTCCCTGGATCTAAGGGCGAATCATGCCGAAACCCGAGCTTGGGCAGAAACCCGAGCCCGGAGCTCAATGTTGGGTAGACATGCCGAAATTCATTTGCCAATTCTCCCAACATTGAGCTGCGGGCTCGGTTTTCTGCCCCAGCTCGAGCCTTTTGTCACCCGCCCTAACCTGTTCAACCATCCAAACCGCATTCAAACGTACCATACCGAAGCAGATCAGACCATCCCTCTCAGCCTGCTAACTTGCAGCGAACTGGGTGGGACTGAAAGAGCCCATCTGACAGCACCTGTAGTAACGCTGCCAGCTCCCGCTTTATTTCCCTTGAAAACTGCGCAGGCTGCAACTGTGCGAAGTAGCTCGAGCCGGCCGTTCCCATTGAACTCCCTAAAAATAAAGCTTCGTACCCTGAAGCTATTGTGCCATTGTGAGGTCTAGTAGTTTCTCCCGCCTGCGCGGAGACACATTCCTTTCCGCTAGCGCAGATCCTCCGCTCGTAGCTCCGCCTGCGAAGACACTAGCGCCATGTCGTGGTTCCGCTCCGCCCTTAATCGGGCGGCGGAGGCGGCGGGGGCGGGCGGAAGGTCCGTCGCGCCGAATCTCGAGCGCGTGAAGGCGTATGCGGGGCATGTTGTGCAACGCGCGGGCGATGCCGTTGCCGGCGGAGCCAAGATGGTTCTGGAACGCGCTGTGGTGAGACGTCCTCGTTAGTGCACGCTGCAACAATCCGCAATGCGACAGTGTGCAGTGCAGTGCGGAGCAGTGGAATGTTAGAAAAAAATGTGTAATTGTGCAATGCCTTTGGCCGGCCCTTCCTCCGTTGTACCCGCAAGTGCTGTGCAGCTCCCATTCACATATAATCACCGTGGATTCTTGTTATTCCAGGCACTATTCCCACGGTAGTTTCCTTGTTTTTTAACTCTAACTCCTGCTGTTTGTACTTGAAATTTCTCCATGCCCATGCGCCGTTCCCTCACCTGATCTCCTTCGCACTACCCCGTCTCTCTACACCCCCATCCGCTCTCCACTCCCCCTCTCTTCTGTCCCCAACCATTATCCCGCCGTCCCCCGAATTCCTCCCACCATTCCCCCCCCAGCCCGGGCGCAACCTCAACAATTTCCGCCACGCCGTGCGCCGATTGGACGAGGTCTCCCTCCTCGCGCGCGGGCGCGAAAGGCAGGACGCGCTTGCGCGCTGGCTGGCGGCGCTTAAGGAGCTCTCCGACGACGATCAGGGGGACGCTCTGGCCTACGAAGCGGAGCTGGCGCACGGCGCGCAGGCGGAGGGCGCACAGGGGGAAGCCGCGCAGGGGGAAGACGTCCCCGCGCACATTCCGGGGGTGGACGCGCCGCCAGAGGCAGCGGGAGCGGAAGGGGAGGGCGGAGGGATGGGGGGAGCTCTGGTGGAAGATGCGGAAGCAGGAGGAGGGGGAGGGGGAGGGGGAGGAGGGAGAGAGGGTGCGGGAGGGATGGGTATGCGCGGGTTGCAGAGTCCGCGGGTGCGGGGAGGCAGTTTCGGTAGTGGGCCTGGTGCGGCTAGTCCAAGGGCAAGGTCAGGGGAAGGCGCTCCCAGCGTTGGATCGGTGAGATGCGATGCGATGGGATGGGGTGAGGTTGAATGGGATGGGATGGAGTGGGATGGGATTGGATGGGATTGAATGGGGTTGGACGGGGCGGGGTGGAATGGTTCATGGGTTCTTGTTGATTGCACGTATCATATCGTCTCGTATGAACAGTGACTTCGTACGAACGAACGAGCTCGGCTTAGCTACACGCGAGTGCTCAACGTGTGCCTATCTCTCTCTTTGTCATGCTACGTCATCGTGCTTCGTGCCCCCTCCCCCCCTCCCCTCTCCCCCCCCCCTCCTCCCCCTTTCCCCCTGCTACCATGCGCCAGGTGCTGTTCCATGATGCGGCCAACCCCGGAGTGCCGCTCACCTTCCGCGACGTCTTCCTCTGCAGCAAGGCACTCGAAAACATTGTCGTCTCCTTCGTGAGTGGGGGGCGTTGCTGCGAGTGGGGGGCGTTGCTGCGAGTGGGGGGTGCTGTTGCGAGTGGGGGGTGTTGCTGCGAGTGGGGGGTGTTGCTGCGAGTGGGGGGTGTTGCTGCGAGTGGGGGTGTTGCTGCGAGTGGGGGGTGTTGCTGCGAGTGGGGGGTGTTGTTGTGGTTTCCAGCAGCTAATGGAGAACCGAAGGCGTTCGTAATGGTTCGTTGTGCGTTTCATGCCTTCAGGCTAGGCCTGTGGAGGTGCCGCCTTATGAGTCGGACTCAGAAGTCACGCCATACATATCACTTGCCATCCTTCCCCCCCCACCCCCCTCCCCCACCCCAACCCCCCCGCCAGATCATGGATGCACCATCCCCCATGGAGGAGCGCATGCTGGCAGACATGTTCGAGTGAGCACAGGGGCGACGCCGCACTGGGGGGGAGGGGGCAGTGGGGAGTGGGCAGTGGGGAGAGGGGAGTGGGGAGTGGGGAGTGGGGAGCTAAGTTGCACTAAACGCGTATGGCGTTTGATACGCTAGCGTATACACGCTATACGCTTTTTTGGGGCAACGTATACGCTAGGTAAACGCTTGTCCGGGCAGGCGGGAAAAAAATCCCCGGGCAGGAAAAAAAACCGTGTCTAGGGAGGGGGAAAAAGGGGGAATGTGGTGTGGGTCATAGTTTTTCATTGCAACATGAACCAGAGAACACAGTTAAGCCTTTAGGGCTTACATAACCGCCACGTCAAGGTTTCATCCATGTCGACATAGCGCTGCCTAAAAAACGAGGCGACATGGTGCTTCCTAAGCTACAATTCTAGCTTAATCTGCTGCCTGATGCGGCTGGTAGAGGTAGGCAGAGCACATTTGACGTTTGGTTGGGTTTGGTAGACGCCTTGGGGTGCAGTGCGGTTGGGGGGGGCAGATTGGTTGGAAGTTGGATTTGGGCAAAAATTTGGGGTCTCGACATTTCGCGATAGTGTGGCTGGCTTCGCCACGCCATGAAGTGGCGATCTGAAATTTTGTGTTTTTTTTCTCTTTCTTGACGGGCTGCCCACGAAATTTCAGCCGAGCATATAGCGTTTATACGCTCGTATAGCGTATAGCGTATATACGCTATACGCTGCGGATTCTGAGCGTTTAGTGCAACTCAGGAGGGGAGTGGGGAGGGGAGAGGGGAGTGGGGAGTGGGGAGTGGGGAGAGGGGAGTGGGCAGTGGGCAGTGGGCAGTGGGGAGTCCCCACGTTTTCGTTTCTCGCGTATTGTGGCCTTCCATTTCATCAGTGTCCTCGTTCTGTTTGAGACTCCCTCCCTCACTTTCCTATCTTCCAGCCTCTCTCCTTTCCTCCTCCTCTACCTTCCACCCTCCTCTACCTTCACCCTCCTCTACCTCTCCTCTGCTCCCTCTTCGCCTCCCCCCCCCGTGGCCCCCCAACCCCCGTGTGCGGCAGCCTGTGTCTGTCAGGCGACCATCAGCTGCACTCATCGCTGCTCAACGCCATCTCTCAGCTCTCCGCTTCCTTCTCCGCCTACTCCGAGGTCAAGGTCAGTCACCCCGCCCAGTTTTGAGGCGCCTCAAAACTGGTCAGTCACTCCGCCCCACCTGCACCACAGCTTGCTTTGGAGACGCCGTTCCCCCCCCCCCCCCCTTTCTTTCTAGTACCTTTCATTCAAGTCAAGCATAAGCTGCTTCTTTGCTCCATGCCCCGTGCTCCATGCTCCATGCTCCATGCCTCATGCCCCATGCCCCATGCTCCATGCTCCATGCTCCATGCCCCATGCCCCATGCCCCATGCGCCATGCTTCATGCTCCATGCTCCATGCCCCATACCCCATGCCCCATGCTTCATGCTCCATGCTCCATGCCCCATGCCCCATGCTCCATGCTCCATGCTCCATGCTCCATGCCCCTTGCCCCATGCTCCATGCTCCATGCTCCATCCCCCATGCCCCATGCTCCGTGTTTGTGTGTGAGCAGATGAGTCGGCAGGAGCTCCTGCGAATGGCATCTGATGCTGTGGCAGGGCTCAAGCTCGACGCACAGCTGCAGCGGTGGGGACCAGGGGAAATGGGGTTGGGAGGAGGGTGTGTGGGGAGTGGGTGTGGCGAATGCGAGGGTTAGGGCACCGGGTTGTGCTGTGCTGTGCTCTTCTCTTGCGAATGGCATCTGATGCCGTGGCAGGGCTCAAGCTGGACACACAGCTGCAGCGGTGGGGACTGGAGGAAGCAAGCGCGTGGTGGGGGATTGGGATATGCATACACTGGGAGGGAGCGTGTTTCGTTTGGGCTGGGTTTCCTTGTGTGTGTGCAGTGCAGTGCTGCTGCTCTTCCTAGGTCCTGCTCCTATGCCTTGCCAGTTTTCTGTGTTCCTTTCCGATACACCGTCTGCTTTTGAGACGCCTCATAAGCAGTCTCAGTTCACACGTTTGTTGTATGCCTTGCCAGTTTTCTGCCTTCCTTTCCGATACACCGTCTGTTCCGATCATGTGCTCTGAAGCCCCTTCACCTGCCCTTCATTCCTGGCCCCCCTGCGCCCTATTCACTCGGTTGTGTGACCCTGTACCGCAGGTTGGAGGCAGAGGAGGAGAGGATAAAGCGCCTGATGGATGAGAAGATGGAGTCCTTCTCCTTCCGCTCCCTCTCGCTCTCGCGCTCCTCTCCCCGGCCTCCTTCCCCTGCCGCGGCTGCCACCACTGCTCCCCCTGCTGGTGTCCCTGCTGCTGCTGCTGCTGCTGCTGCTAACGATGATGATGGTGATGGTGAGGGTGTTGCTCCTCCTGACGTTTCTGAGCTGTTTGGTTCGAAGCCCGCTCAGCCACGGAAAGAGGAACAGAAGGAGGAAGGGGAAGGGGAAGGGAAAAGGCAAGACAGCAAGGGAGGGAGTGGGGAGAATAAGGAAGGAGAGGAGAAGGCTGGTGACGAAATGGATAATGGGGTGGATGGAGGGGAGGAAGGGGGAGGGTCACTGCAAGAGCAAGGAAGGAGTGACAGCCTGCAAGGATCACAAAAGTACTCTGTGGTACGTACACGGGAATATGACAAAGCGTATTGTGTAGCTGGTTCAAGGCGACCAGTAGAGACGGGATGTCACCTCCAGAACCCTCGTCTCCTCCTCACCCTCACACACACCCTCTCCCCCCCACCACCATCCCCCCTGCCACCTATACCCATCACGACGTTCACTCGACAGAAGCCCTCTCCTCCTCCTTGGCAGCGAGGTGACTTCTAGATCAATGCACAAGTCACCTCTGCACCCCGCTCCTCCTCCTCACTCCTCGTCTCTCCCCACCCCACCCACCAGGACGTGCAGTCGACAGAAGCCCTCTTCTCCCTGGCAGCAGCCGTGGCGATTTCTGAGGCTCCCCTACAACTTCTTCCCCTTCCCCCTCCCCTCGTCCCCTCTCCACATTCCAGGACGTGCAGTCAACGGAGGCCCTCGTCTTCCTGGCAGCAGCCCCCGCGTTTGGAGGGGTGGGCCCCTACAACTTCTTCCTCCCCTTACCCTTCCCTCGTCTCCCCCCACCCCACCCCCACCCCACTCACCCGGACGTGCAGTCAACGGAGGTCTTGTTCTCCCTGGCAGCAGCCCTGGCGTCTTCTGAATCAACTCACAAGTCACCCTCACCCTCACACCCCTCTCCTCCTCTCCCCGCGTCTCCCCCAATCCCTCCCACCAGGACGTGCAGTCAACGGAGGTCCTGTTCTCGCTGGCAGCGGCCCTGGCGTCTGTGGTTCGGCGCAAGGAGCAGCTGCGACACCGGGGGGACAACGCTGCTGCCAGAATGATGAAGGTGGGTGGGGAGCTGGGGGAGCTGGGGGAGCTGGGGGAGGGGTTCTATACATTTGAAGCGCCTCAGAGATAGGGTCGGTTCGGTGTAGGAGCAGCTGAGGCACCACCGGGGCGACAGTGCTGCTGCTAGAATGATGAAGGTCGGGAGGTAGAGAGTGGGGAGGGTTGCGAAGGGGCTGAGGGGGAAAGCAAGTTAGGAGAGAGGATGGAGGAAGAAGGAAAGGGGGAGGAGAGAGAGAACGAAGATGGGAGATGAAATAAGAGGGGAGTGGGAAAAAAGTGTTGCACGAGAGAGAATGTTGGTCAGGGGGGAGGATGAGTACAAGGAAGGAGATGTGCCGGTCAATCTGTATGTGTCTTTGATGCTTTTTCTTGCGAGCCTCCTCCCTCACTGTTTTCTTCCGGTAAGCTCTTCAGTCTTTTCCTTCGCACTCACCCCTTCCTATCCCATCTCTTTGCCCCTTCATTTGAATGGTATGGTATGGTATGGTATGGTTTGGCATGGTATGGCATGGTATGGCATGGTATGGTATGGTATGGTATGGCATGGTATGGTATGGTATGGTATGGTATGGTATGGTATGGTATGGTATGGCATGGTATGGTCCCCTCCGTTCCCCCCCTTCAGGTGGAGCGCACCAGGGAGTTTGCAAGCGAGCTGGCCAATTTCATGGACGACTTCGAGTCCAAGATAGCAGAGTGCAGGTGAAACCAACAGGCGGCAGGTGAAACCAACAGGCGGCAGGTGAAACAAACAGAGTGCAGGTGAAACTGACAGAGACCAGCTGAAACTAGTAGAGAGCAGGTGCAACCAACAGGGCAGGCGAAACCACCGGAGGCCAGGTGAACTCTGCTGCTGGGCCGTGAAGAAGACTAGTGAAAGCACCAAGAAGTATTTCGAGAGTCAGGAGAGGCAGGAGAGGCAGGAATTGCAAGAAGACAAGGCACTTGTGTTTGGGGGATCAAGGAACGGATGTACGGAAGGTTTGTGGGTGTTAGTAGGACGCTGGTTGGAGGTATTGACATGGTGGCAGCGAGTCGGAAAGAATGCTGCCAGCATGCCGATTGCAGAGGCAGGAGGCATTGACACGGTGGCATACTTAACGCGCAATGCCGTGTGACTTGTTATTACGTGTGCGTGCGCGCACATCTGCTTGCTTTGCCGTGTGCAGGCAGCAGCGGCAGGAGGCGGTGACATACCGGACGAGCAAGGAGGAGGAGGCGACTATGGGGACTATGGGCACCATGGGCACCATGGGGACCATGGGGACTATGGGCACTATGCAGACTTCCCCTAAGCACTGCTGCTCTTGGGTGACGTTGTCCCTGGACTTGCCTCTGCCCCGGTATTCCCCCCCCCGCAGGCAGCAGCGGCAGGAGGCGGTGACGTACCGGACGAGCAAGGAGGAGGAGGGGATCGGAGCGGAGAGGGCCATCACCGACGAGCTGCAGACGCTGCACCAGCGGCGCCGGGAGATAGAGGAGCAGCTCAAGGAGGTGAGTGGGAGGAGGGGGGGGGTGGTTTATGAGGTGCTTGAGGTGTCGCACTCACTTCTGATCTGGAGTTGCAACAGAAGCAGACGCTTTTTGAGTCGACTCAAAAATCACCTTCGAGTTGCAACAGAAGAAGACGCTGCACCAGCGGCGGCGGGAGATAGAGGAGCAGCTCTAGGAGGTGAGTGGGAGGGGGAGAGGGGGGAAGGGGGAATGCTTGGAGGTGCGTCGCTCTACTAGTTCGGAGGCACGACTGGACGATGCTAGATGCTGCACCAGCGGCGGCGGGAGATAGAGGAGCACCTCTAGGAGGCGAGTGGAAGGGGGGGGAGGGGAGAGGAGATGTTTCCGCCTTGTTGGGGTGCGTCACTCCTAGTTTTGAGGTTCGGCAATCATCGATGCAATGGCACCTTCAAATACACATTCAGGAACAAATTTCTCCTCTCTCTCGTCACCTCCTCTCCCCCATGGCCGGCAGGTGGAGGATGCCATAACCGCGGCGACACTGCAGCACATCCAAATGCAACTCTCCCTCGTCCCTTCCCCTCTCTTCCCCTCGCGTTCCCCTCCCTTCCCCTCCCTTCCGCTCCCTTCCCCCTCCTTCTCCTCCCTTTCCCTCCCTTCTCCTCCCTTTCCCTCCCTTCTCCTCCCTCCCCCCGCCTTCCCCTTCCTTCCCCTGCTTCCCCCTTGGCCCCCGCATACCCCGTGGCCGGCAGGTGGAGGACGCCATAGCGGCAACAACGCGGCGGCACATCCAGATGCAGGAGGAGAAGGAGCAGTTCGACATCGCCAGCCACGGGCTGCTGGGCTCGCTGGACGCCGAGGTGGGTGGGTGGGTGGGTGGGTGCTAGATTTCTGCAGGGGTCCCGGGTGCTAGAACTCACCCGGGACCCCGGGTGAGTTCTGACAGGGGTGGGCAGGCTTCCTGGGGTTTCATCATTCTCAAGAACACCCTGCAAAATCAAGATGGGCTTGCTCACTGGACGCCGAGGTGGGTGGTAGGGTTCTGAGGTGAGGGGGGCCTCGCTCGGCGTTGAGTGGGTGTTTTAGTGGTGGGGCGACGCTGGGTGAGCTTGCTGGATGCTGAGGGGCTGTTATAACTGTGATGCGCCTCAACACCAGGGGCTTGTGGGCGTGCTCTCTCTGGGGTGCTTTTGAGTTTTACATGCCCAAACCCCAAATCTCCCTACCATCCGTCCACATGCACCCTTGCTTTGCCCGTTAAACCACCAGGAGGAGCACCTTAGCACCATGCAGCAGCAGCACCAGCAGGACGCCAAGACGCTGTTTGGTTGGATGGGCTTCCTGGAAGATTCCTGGAAGATGCAGCTGCTCTACATGGAGAGCAAGGACCAGACCTTTAAGTGCGTCACTTTGTAGGGTGCTCTTGGCTCGGTGCTCTTTGATGGGTGCTCTTGGCTGGGTGCTCTTGGCTGGGTGCTCTTGGCTGGGTGCTCTTGGCTGGGTGCTCTTGGCTGGGTGCTCTTGGCTGGGTGCTCTTGGCTGGGTGCTCTTGGCTGGGTGCTCTTGGCTGGGTGCTCTTGGCTGGGTGCTCTTGGCTGGGTGCTCTTGGCTGGGTGCTCTTGGCTGGGAGCTCTTGGCTGGGCGCTCTTGGCTGGGTGCTCTTGCCTGGGTGCTCTTGCCTGGGTGCTCTTGCCTGGGTGCTCTTGGCTGGGTGCTCTTGGCTGGGTGCTCTTGCCTGGGTGCTCTTGGCTGGGTGCTCTTGGCTGGGTGCTCTTGCCTGGGTGCTCTTGGCTGGGTGCTCTTGGCTCGTTGAAGCATGCCAGTTACGACCCTTTTGGCTTCATTTCTTTTTGCGAATGTGCCCAAGCCGTCAGTTCGTTGCACTCTTGCCGCTGCTTGGTCGTCGCATCCCTCTTCTTCTCCTCATCCCTCTGCACCGCAAGACTTCTACCCTCCTCTCCCAGTGCTGCTGGTTCGTTTCTCTCTCGCCCCATATCCTGTTACCCCACCACCACTTCTTCCCCCGTTCCCCTCTCACCTTCCCCCCCCCTTTCCCTCCCCCCTTTGTGCAGGCAATCCCTGGCCGACCTTTCCTCTCGCATGAGAGCCATAGCTGCTCCGCATCTGCTCGTGTGCATGGTATGTGCCCGGCTGCAGTACATGCTCAGTTCTCATGCCCACTCACTTGGCTATCTGTCAAGCCTCTAAGCTGGTGCCCACCTCATCTCGTCCATTGGCCCTGTGTGCGCGTGTATGTCTCCTCTCCCTTTCTCGGCCCTCATCCTCACCCTGCCCTCTCCTCTCCTCTCCTCTCTCCGCCTCTCTCCTCTCCTCTCCTCTCTCCGCCTCTCTCCTCTCCTCTCCTCTCCTCTCTTCTCTTCTCCTCACCTCTCCTCTCCTCTCCTCTCCTCTCCCCTTTTCGCTCCTTAGTGCCTTCCGCCTTCGCTCTTTTCCCTCATCTCGCCACCTCTTTGTCAACTCATCCCCATCCTCTCATCCCCATCCTCTCATCCCCATCCTCTCATCCCCATCCTCTCACCCCGATCGCCATCCTCGTCACGCCACGGCGCCATCAGGATCACATGAGGGCCTCCCTCACATCCCTTGGAGCAGCTGTCTCTGCCCTCGCAGCCTTTGACTCCACCCCGTGAGTGCTCTCCTCATCGCATCCCCGGTGTGTGCTCGATTTGTCCGCACTTCCTTGCACTCCCCTGCACTTCCTTGCACTTCCTTGCACTCCCCTGCACTTCCTTGCACTTCCTTGCACTCCCTTGCACTCCTTTGCATCCATGCACTGGCCTTTTGCACCCACCCATCTGCCTTCCGCTACATACTCCTGTCCCCTTTCCACAGTCCACTTCCCCCCCCCTGTTGTGTTCTCATCCCCGTCTCCTCTCCTTCCTGCCTCCTTTCCTGTTACTGCTCCTGTTTCGTCTCCTCCCTTCTCCTCAAACCCCATTTGCATCGTAACCCCGCCTCCCTCGCACCCCTTGAACACTCCTTTTGCTTACCCCGCCCCCTTCTTTCTTTTGCACATTTTTTTTTGCAGGAATGACGACGAAGGGGGTGCAAAGCTGCTGCCAGAATCTGGTGGGGAGCGCATGAGAGCAGAAGAGAAGTACCTCCAAGCACAGACGCAGGTGAGCTGCTTCTCCCCTCCACCATCCAAGGGAAAAAAAAAAAAAAAAAAAAAAAAAAAAATCCTCCCTCCATCCCTCCGCCCACTTTCTCTGCCCTGTCCCCCCCGCTTTCTCTGCTCGCGCCTCCCAGTCTGTGTCCCTTCCCCCAACACCCTGGTCCTGCTGTCTGAGTGTAGCAAGGTCCAGCTCAGCTGCTTTTCCTGAGAATTGTAAAATGTGACTCCAGCCAGTCCATGTCCCCCTTAACGCTTCTCCTGCTGTCCTCCAACCAGTCTGTGTGTAGCAAGCTCGACATCAGCTGCCCATCTCCCTCTCCTCTGCTTTTGCTCTGCTGTGGCGACCCCTCCCCCCATCTCAACTTCCCACCCATCTCAACCTCTCCCCACCCTTCCTCCCCCCTTGCTCCTAATTCCTCCCCCCCCAACACCCCACCCCTCCCCCCCCCCCCCCCCCCCCCCCCCCCCCCCCCCCCCCCCCCCCCCACCCCGTGTCCCACTGACTGCTTTCAGATGAAGCGAGCAGTGGCAATGGCGGATAAAGCACGGGCCGAGTGGGAGCACCTCAACTCCCTGCCCTTGTAAGCACCCGATGCATCTCATCTCATCTCATCTCAGCTCAGCTCAGCTCATCTATTCTCATCTCATCTCATCACATCTCAGCTCATCTCAGCTCATCTCATCTCATCTCATCTCATCTCGTCTCATCTCGTCTCCTCTCCTCTCATCTCGTCTCGTCTCGTCTCGTCTCGTCTCTTCTCGTCTCTTCTCGTCTCGTCTCGTCTCGTCTGGTCTCATCTCATCTCATCTCATCTCGTGGGCAACTCCTCTTGCCCTTGCCTGCCACATGGCCGTAGATTGTTGCTTTTGCAAAAACCCATCTGTTACTTACTGCTGCACCCTGCCCTTTCCATGCCATGTCAGCCCATTCTCCTTCTCTTCTCTTCTCTTCTCTTCACTCCGTTATCTCGTCTCCTCTTCTCTCCTCTTCTCTCCTCTCCGTTCCCACCTTCAGGTTCCCTGAGGGCAGCGACGATCCTGACCACAGGCAGCTAGCTCAAGCCCTGCAGGACATGGAATCCATGAAACTTGAGTTCCTCAGCTTGCCCTCTCCCACCCTCCTGTATCACTCCCACTACCAACACCACCACCAACAACAACAACAGCACCACCAACAACAACAACAGCAGCACTTCACCAGATCGCATGACCAACAGCAATCCTCCTCCGCCTTCTCCCCTTCTGCTTCTCTCCCTCCCACATACCGGCGCTCTTCCCCGTCCTCCCATTGGCCCGGTGCTGCCATGGCTGCTGGGATGCGCTCATTCAATCTCGGAGCTTCCCTTTCCAACCCTCTCACCGGCAGTCTAAGCAGCCCCAGTTCCTCGTCCCGCTCCCCCCGAACCTCCGACTTTGGCCGGTCTGCCTCCGCCTCGTCCGATGGATTGGGAAGGACAGGTTCGGACCGAACAGGTCATCAACTGCCTCGGCATGAGGGTCTGTTTGGTTCGATGCTTGGTTCGGCGGGCGGTGACCATCAGCAGGACCGGCCGAAGCTAAGCCAGCGAATGGCAGCGGCAGCGGCTAGGGCTGCTGCGGTGGCAGCATCAGCAGCAGGAAATCTGAGCAGCAGTGCTGCTGCTGCCGCTGCAGGTGTGGGTGTTGGCGTTGGGGGTGGTGGTGGGGGGCCTGCTGGGGAAAGGGATGCACGGGGTAGCGCCGCTGCTGCTGTGGCTGAGTAAGCTAGGTTACAGCGACAGGTTGAGAAAGATGGGAGAGCAAGGCATGAGAGGAGGGAGGGGGACGGGGGGGGGGGGGGGGGGGGGGGGGGGGGGGGTTGGGGAGAATAGTCCATACACTTGGTCTAAAAAAGTCTTATAATCGGCCCATGGATATGCATCTTTTGCTGAAGCATACATGCAGTTTAGACGTGCATGGTATTTTGCCTGTATGGGAGTTAGTTATGCTCTAGATATGGGACATGCATGGTAAATCAATATCTAAACCTCTGCACGTGATGCATATCTCGAGTGGTTTCCATCCATCTAGAGGAACACTTCCGTGTCACAGGTTCTTCCAGATAGTTTGACTGCAGTGATGTGACTCATGACGAGTTTGTGGTGAAATGGTTCACTGCAGTTGGTTTTTTTCCCCACTCAACGTCAGTGAAAAGCTGGTGGATTGGTTGTTGTCCAATTTTGTACCATACGCGATTCAGTGTGGTTGTGCTATCATTTGCATGGTTTCGCTGGGGTTCTGGACGAGCTCGCTTATCTTTCGTTAATTCAGCATATAGTAACATTTTGTGACTTGCGAACGCTCCTTGAAGTGAGCCAAGTGTGTCACGGGCTCGCAGACGATTCGCAAACTTCGACGTTTCACCACACCCCACCACAGGCGATCACGGTTATTCGTCGCGCACTCTGTTCACAGCAATTAGCAACTCGGGGAGGCCTGGTTTGGCCAGGCTGAGCCGAGCCCAGCCGAGGCGGTGGACTACAGTAGGGTAACCTTACGGAAGTGTCCCCTCCCCAACCTAAGCAATCGCACAGCTGTCGCCTATGGCGCGGCTCGTTGCTGCCATATGGAAATTCATGGGAGGTCCGAATCGCGATGTTTACATGTCCATAATTCCACCCACCACGACCCAGCAGCCCCCACCTGCCAGCAGAAGCAGCATCACCATCTGGATTCTCATTCGCGCCTCCCCCCCCTCCCTCCCCTCCCCTCCCCTTCCCTCTCCTCCCCCCCACGCAGCACCTCACTCGGCCCTCCACTTCTACACCTGGCCTTTCGTCCTTTTGGGCTGTTGACAAAAAATCCTTCGCTTTCTCGGCACACTCCTTTCACCTCGCTCCCCTCTCGAGTCTCAAGCTGGGAGGGGTTCTCTCAGCTCACTTGCTCTCGTTGGTTTTGTCCGGCCTAGCCTTTCGCCTCGCCTCATCCCCCCCCTCGCGCCCCAATTTGTCATTCTCTCTTCGGGATCCGTTTCTTCCACTAACACGAAAACCTCAGTTCTCCTCAGTGACCATTTCGGGCCAAAACACAGACTCCTAGTTGTGACATTTTCCGTACTAGGTCTAGATGTATCACGTCAGCTCGTAACGGCCGGAGCTGGTCCCGTTATGGGGAGACGACAAAGAATACTCCAGCTGCTAATTCTACTCCTCCTAAGCTTCACCGCGTCATGTAGTTCCGTAATTTTCAACGACGATAAATACCCGACTCTCGGAGTTAACGTATGCACCGCGCCGCGGCTGGTTAAATGCAGTCCAGCGTGCAACGCCACGTCGGGAACGGAAGGCCACTACGTGGTGCCGTTCCCTCGGTGTACAGCGGCGAACTCTATAAAGAGTACGACGAACGTGTATTGCGGCGGAAACGCCATCAGTCGAATACAGTGCTGCAAGCTGTGCGGGAATAGGACGACGTGCAACTTCTGGCAGCACCATATCCCGTGAGCCCCGTCGCTTTGCATCTTTCTCATTCGTTGGTTTAGATGTCTAATTAGGAGCCCGTGTGCCTCATCTATGGACGCACGCCACGACACGCCACGCCACGCCGTGCCGCGTCTCGCTACGCCACTTCACGCCGCGCCACGCCACACCCCATCCCCCTCCCCGCCCCCTCGTCTCCGTCCCCGTCACCCCCTCCCCCTCCCCCTCCCCCTCCCCCTCCCCTCCCGTCCATTTCAATCTGCCCCTCCCGGACGGCTCAACTTACTCCCCGTGCCTTCGTTTCCTCTACCCCCTCCCCCGCCCCGCGCTCCCCGCCCAAACCAGGCCGAATCCCGCGTGCCTCGGGTGCGGCGCGTGCTACATTTACCCCGCAGCCGCGCCCCCCCCCACGTGCGCCACCACCAACATCTCGTACAACGGCATCGTGCGACTAAACGCTAACGCCTCCACGTACATAACCCCTATTAGCCCGTCCGCCCTTCTATCTTTCAGTATCCGCCCGCGAGGGTAGTAATACGCGTCGCCGCCGCATCCGCATTGCCCTCGCACAGCCGCGCATGGCGACATGGTGCTTTCGATCCGCATTGCCCTCTCCGAGAAGTCGTCGCCCCCTTGTCACGCACGTAATCCATTCTCGCGCCTCCTTTCTTTCAGTGGAGCCTTTTCAGTCCGCTAAAACCCCCCTCTAGTACCCCGTTGTTGCCACCTTTTGCGGTATTCTTCACCCGAATCCCCTCTTTCCGCCCCTCCTCTTCCCCCTTGCGCGCCTCCCCCAGGCTCGGCAAGCCATGCGCGGAAGGCAAGGACGACCCGCACTTCCGCGGCGGCCACGGCACGCGCTTCGAGTTCAACGGTCTGCCTGACCGGACCTTCTGTCTCCTAACGGACCGCAACCTCCACGTGAACATGCGCATGCGCGGGTACTACGACACGCGCACCGTGGGCGCGTCGATTCTTAAGAACGGGCTCGCGATTCGCACGTGGATTCGCGAGCTCGGGATCATGTGGGTGGACGCGAAGACGCGGCGGAGCCACTCGTTCCGCCTGCTGGCGCGCGACGGGAAGGAGACGGCGCGCGGGAAGGGGTATTTGAAGGAGATCGAGTACGGCGGAAGGATGCTACCGCTGCTGAAGGTGAGCGGAATTGGGGGTGGGGGGCGGGGATTGGGGAGGAGAAGCGGGGAGAAGTGAGGAGCGAAGAGAGTAGCGGAGGAGGGGAGGGGATGGGGGGGAAGGGGAGGGGGAAGGGGGGGAGGGCTGGGGTGGTAGTGGTAGTGGTGGGGTGGAGTGGAGAAGCTGTTTGCAACGTTGCTCGTTGCTCACGTTGCCGTGTTGGTCGCATTGGAAATGAAATTGCTGTGTGCAATTTCAATTTCATCCACGTGGCGATGTTTGACTCGAGCTCACCACATTCCGTCCCTCACTCTCTTTCCGCCTTCCCCCCCCTTCCTCCCCCCACCTCTCCACATTCCAACCTTCCCCCCCCCCCAAACCCCGCAGCTGGGCGGGCGGTACGCGCTGGACGGCGGGCTGCGCTTTTCCTTCGACGCGTACGAGTCGCAGGGCGGCGGCCACTTCGACGTGGACGCGTACCACCTCGAGATTGCCGATCTCCTCGACCTCGATATAAAGCTCCGCGTCGCGCACCCGTTGCTGCAAACCCCCGACGACGCCGAGGCGCACATTAATGTCCAGTTTCTGCAGGTCCTCGGCACTCCCGAGGTGCACGGGATCGTCGGGCAGACGTACCGCGAGGGGCGCGAGAAGCGCACGGTGACGTTCGCGGAGCTGGCGGAACTCACGGGGAGGCCGATTGCGGCGGACGGGGAGGAGGGGAAGGGGTTTCTCGACGGGGATGTGATCGACTACACCACGACGGGGGTTTTAACCGCGGATTGCCGTTACACCGCGTTCAGCGGGGAGAGGCGCCCGCGCACTGCCGCGGATAACGCGCGCGCGGACGCGCGCGGGCGTGGTGGAGGGGGGGCCTTGGGGGGAAAGAGGGAAGAGGGCGGGCCGGTGGTGAGGGAAGAAGCGGCGGCAGCGGCGGCAGTAAAACGAGCAGCGGCGGCAGCAGCAGCAGCAGCGCGGGAAAAGGCGAGAGCCGCTCAGCAACGACCACGACCGGTGGGAAACCCCCATGCTGCTGCTGCTGCTGCGCGCAACGCAAGAAGCCCTGCCACCACCGTGCAACAGCAGCAACTCCTAGTCTCCCCGGCTGTAGCACACCCTGTAACTGGCAGGGGTCCGGCTACAACCGCCACCAGTGCCACCGCTGCAAAGCCCACCACTTCCCAAGGACCGGTCGCCCAACGGCCTGTCACTCCAGCAGTGCTTGACAAGAGAGCAGGTGTCATCACTCTAGCGCGCAGCAATCCCGATCGGCATAGTAGTCTGCAGCAACCAGCAATCCGTCCCACACTCCAGCGTTCTGCAGCAGCAGCGGTAGCATCTGCCTCTGCCTCTGCCTCTGGTGCTGCTGGCACTCCATCGATAGGCAAGCCTGCTGCAACTGCTGCTGTGGTTCTGGCTGCTCCGGTGCTCGCCACGGGTGGTGGTGGTGCTGCCAGTAGAGCGGTGCCTGCTGCTAGAGCGGCGGTTGGTGAGAGGCGCATGGGAAGTGTGCTGAGAATAGCTGGGCTGACTGGTAGGCCCCGAGGGAAAGCAGCCGGGTTGATAGGAGTGGGCGCTGGTTCGGTGGTTGGATCGCAACCAGGAGGAGTGAGAAGTGCACCAGTGAGGCTGGGAACTGAGAGACCAGCACCAGTGGTAACCGGGGCAGGAGGAGCAGCAACAGGAGGAGCAGCTACAAGAGCAGCCACAGGAGGAGTGGTTACAGGAGCGGCAACAGGAGGAGGAACAGGAGCGGCAATAGGAGGGGAGACAAGAGCTCCGCCAAATAAAGCAGGGTCAACCGGAGTCCCTGCAGCTGCAGTGGCAGCAACAGGCAGAGTTAAGGCAGGAGCAGCTGGAATTGCTTCTTCTGCTGCTGCCGTGAATAATGACAACAGCAGGGAGACGGTTAGAGGGGGGGCAGCCATACTTGGTGGTGGTGAAGAGAGATTGAATGCAATCAGAGTGGGCGCATAAGGAGGGATCGTACGTGCAGAGGATCCTAAGGGCTAAGGGGCTGTGAGCGACCTGTACCACCTCCTTGCAAGTTGCATCCTTCGCAACCAACGTACCGCTATGACAGTAGACCTCTTGTGTTCTATAGAATGTTCCATAATTGTCTTCCCTTCCCTCCTGCCATTCTTTGTTCAATATATATTGAACCATCCATAATTTCTTCGTCCTTAGGATGCTACTGTAGCAGCCTATTCCGTGATTTGAATATAAGTTTCGCATGGTCTTCTAATTTCCAACAAGAGATCAAGCAACCAGCAACAGAAGTTGGCTAGAGTAACAGGAGCAGCAGCAGAACTTGGCTAGAACGGGACTTCAATAATACGGGGCTCTCGGAATTCTACAAGCATTGCACACGAACTCATTGAGCTACAAGAACAGAAAACAAGCATCAATCACATAGAACTCCACTCCAGCTCTTGTACAATGCACGCATCACATAAGTTGCTTAATCCGAATCCTCATCAAGCAGCATCGGTGTGCCCTCCCCACGCCCATGTGTGCTTGCAGGGGTCGTCGTGAGCTCAGTCGCTCCTGTCTGACGGAAACGGCCAGGCAGCGAGGCAAGGCAGTCACAGGGGATGGTGAAAAGGGAGAGGGGTATAGCGGGGTAAGGGGAACACGGTGAGGGCAGGGGGTGGATGGGCATGGAGGGAGGGAAATTACGGGAAGAACGGAGGGGGAGGAGTGGTGCACTCCATAGTATCTTCAGCTACGGTACTCGTGGTTCTTGGGAAAATGTGGCACGAGCGGAGAACAAAAACGTGGGAAAGAACAGAGTGCCTTGGCAGCAGCCGGGAGAGTGGTATGGTATGGTATGGTATGGTATGGTATGGTATGGTTTGGCAGCAGCAACGCACCATGCTCTGCCTGAACGACCCTGTATCCGGCGAGGCGAGCAGCAAGGGAGCGCAGGCGCAGGCGGGACGCAAGCAGCAGCAGCACGAGGGGGAGGAGCGTGAACACAGCCACCACCGCCAGCACAGAGGCTGAGGGCACCGTCAGATGAATTAGGTCCGAGAAACCCCTCCCCTTTGGCTGCGCCGCCGCCTCCCCAGCACCAGCACCATCCCCCCCCCCCGCACCCGCGCCGCCCCATCTTCCACTCCCTCCTGCCCCTCCTCTCTCGCCCTGCCCCTGCCCCTGGGGGTGCGTGGTGTCTGCAGTGCTGCCTGCGGTGCTGCCAGTGAAGAGGGAGCAGTCTGCAGAGGCGAAGAGGCGGTCGCAGATGCATGTGCCCGTTGCTACGTTACATGTGCCCGACCCACTGGGTGGGGTTGACAGGGGTGGAGGGTAGGGGCAAGGGGGACGGGGAAACGGGGTAAGGGAGAAGGAAGGAGGGGGAAGGGAGGAGGGAGAATGGAGGAGGGAGAAGGGAGAAGGGAGAAGGGAGAAGGGAGAAGGGAGAAGGGAGAAGGGAGAAGGGAGAAGGGAGAGGAGGTCGTGTGTGAGGCGCTACGTGTTAGGCAGGTGTTGCGGGAGGGGGGAAGAGAGGCCGCACATCACAAACATACGAGCTGCTTGCTTGTCCCCTTGACTCTCCCCTCTCCCTCATCTCAACATATCCCTCCTCCCTCTCAGCACCTCCAAAGCACCTGTGCCTATCTCCCCTCTCCCTTCACCACCCCTCCTCTCCCCCCCTTCCCCCCCCCTCTCATCCTCCTCCTCCCCAACAGCCGCCCCCCCTCTCCTCTCTCACCTGCAGTCGTTCGGACACAGCTTTGGCACAGCCAGCAGCCGCCTCCGTCCCTCTCTCCCCTCCTCCGGCTCCCTCTGCCCCGCGCCCAGCACCCAGAACCGTCCTCCAGCCGACAGCCCCAGCACCTCGGGCTGCTCCTGGAGAAACGCCTTGGCGGGGGGCAGCGCGAAGACACCTGAGGTGACGGCCATGGCGTGGTAGGTGACGGTGTGCGTGCCGGCGGGCAGGTAGGGGAGGAGGAAGCGCACGTGCGAGGGGCGCGTGGTGCGTGTGTGCCAGGATGCCCACCACCAGAGGGAGGAGTCGGATGTGGGAAACATGTCGGGCCTGGTGGTTTTGGTGGGGAGGGAAGGTGTAGGGGGGTGGGGAGGAGGAGTTCAAGCGTGCGTGCGAGGGGCGTGTGGTGCGGAAGTGCCATGGGGCCCACCACCAGAGGGAGGAGCCGAAGGTGGGGATATTGTCGGCGGCGGATTGCATGTCGGTTGACGGTGGTAAATGTGGGGAAGGAGGGATGGGGGATGGCGGCAAGGCGACAAGAAAAACACAAAGAGGGTGCATTCGGATGAAATAGGATCCATGCATAAGGATGAATGAAGCGTATGCAGAGAGCGTGCGGGGACGACAGTGGAACAGAGAGGGTAGAGAGGCGCACTGTAGCTGCGAGGGCAGGTTGGGGTCGAGGGGCTCGAGGCCGGCCGGAGGGAGGTCCAGGATGACTAGGTTGCGAACGTCGTCTGCTGTGGTGACCTGAATGGTCACCGTCACCACCACGCCCACTGGCGCCTGGTGGGCGATGGGGAGGGGGAGGAGGGTATTTTTGAGGCGCCTCAAAAATAGACTGCTCACTGTCACCACCTCGCCCACTGGCGCTTGACGGTGGATGGGGAGGGGGAGGAGGGGGGGTGTGCGATGGGAAGAGGGAAGTGGGGAGAGAGAGGGGCAAGGGAAGAGATCAGTGCAGAAGGCAAAGACGGGAAAGAGGTTGAGGGGAGTGCGAATGAAAGAGACGGACAAATGGGAGGGAGGGAGGGAGGGAGGGAGGTAGGGAGGGAGGGAGGGAGGGAGGGAGGGAGGGGGACAAATTCTCCTTGACAGACAGGGTGATGCATGGCATGGCAGGGTGTAAGTGGCTATAGTTTTGAGACGTGTCAAAAACTTAACTGCTTACACATGGGTGATGCATGGCAGGGTGTTTTTGAGAATTCTCAAAAGCAACATGGCAGGGGCATGTAGACGTACAGAGGAGGTGGGCGTGGAGGATGGCATTTGCAGCAGAGGGGCTGCTGTATTGGCGGCGCCCTCAGCAGCAGCAGCAGCAGCATCAGGCGCTTTGAAAGAGAACATCTTCTCGACATAGAGGCCGCGGTACGTGGGGAAAGGGAGGATGCTGCCTGGGATGAACGACAGCGCCACTGACACTGACACCTGGGGGAGACAGGTGTTGGGGGGGGAGGGTTTTGGGGGTAGAGGGTGTTGGGAGGGAGGTTTTTGAGACGCCTAAAAAAGTGTATCAATAATCATAGAGGCCTTGGTACGTGGGCAAAAGGAGGGTGCTGCCTGGGATGAACGACAGCACCACTGACACTGACAGTGACACCTGGGGGAGTGGGTGTTGGGGGGAAGGGAGGGGGAGGGGGAGAAGGGAGGGTGGAGAAGCAGAGAAGAGGAGGCCATGGGAGAAATTGGAGGGTAGGGCGGATTGGATTGTGCAGCGAGGAGGACGCCAGTAAAGCAGTCTTTGGATAAAGAGATTTCAGGCGCGGAGGCTCAAGTGGGTAGGAGAGCAAAGGCGGGGGCGGGGGGGGGGTGGGGTGGAGGGGGTGGGGTGGAGGGGGGTGGGGCACATGAATGATCGGGTTTAGATTTGAGGCGCCTCAAAAATAGATTGGTACTGCTTTTGAGTCGACTCAAAAACACGGACCAGGGGGCAACAAAGATGGGTGGGGAGAGCGAATGGGTGGAGAATGGAAGCGTGGGTGTTACCTCGCCAATGCCTTGAGCGTCAATGAGCAGGGAGGAAGGCACACGAGCAGCAGTAGTGGCCCACGGTACAGATGCAGAAACCACTGCTGTTGCTGCCCCTGCTCCTGCTGCTGCTCCTGCTGCTGATCGCGCATCAAGCCCAGACGGAGAGAACGTGTGCGAGAGGATGGTGGTGGTCTCGGAGCTGGTCGGTGCTTCTGAGCCACCACCACTGGAGCCAGCAGAAGTAGTAGCATCAGCATCAGCAGCAGCAGCAGGAGTGGAGGAGGCAGGGCCAGAGGAGACAGTGAGGGCGAGGTGCGGGGTGGTGCTGCCGTGCCACATGTCGTAGCGCGTCAGGGCGAGGGCAGACAGGGCGGACTCTGTCCACCCGGCGTACGCAGAGGCTCTGTCCGTGCCGGCCACATGGTTGGCTAGCTTCTCTACTAGGGGGGAGTCGGACGCAGTCTGTGTCGGGAGTGGGCAAGGGAGGGGTGGAACGGAGAGTGGGGAGAGGGGGAGCTTTTGTTTGAGACAACGCAGAATTGGCCCGTGTTGGCCAGGCCGGCTACGTGGTTGGCTAGCTTCTCTACTAGGGGCCAGTCAGACGCCGCTTGTGTAGGAAAGGGCAAGGGAGGGGTGAATGGCGGAGTGGAGCGAGGGAGCAGCAATGTACAGATGGCATTTGAAGCGACCGTGATCGGTCCGTGCCGGCTGCATGGTTGGCTAGCGACTCCTATATGTACGTCCAAAGCACAGAACAACACAGCACGCCACCACACCCTACTGCACTGCACCCCACCCCGTCCCACCCCACCTCATCCCAACCCACTCCATCCCACAGCACGCACCTCCACGAGCAGCAGCAGGGCGAGCGCATTGGCGGTGCTCCCAGCAGAGAAGGGCGAGCCAGGCGCGGCAGTGACATACGCCGTGCGCCCAAGCACCCTCATGCTGTTGACCGTCCATCCCACTGCCATTCCCACTGCCTCTGCTGCCTCCCCTCCTCCTGCTGTGCCTTGCCTACTGTGATTGATAAGAAGAGCAGCAGGGTCCTGGTGGCGCTCTCTCGCTTCCAGAACGAAGGCCAGTGCAGTGCAGAGCTTGCCGAGAGGAGAGAGCCGGGTGAAACGGTGCTTGAGATTGGCGAAGAGGAGAGGAGAGGTGCTGCCTGCTGTGAAGAGGGGAAGACGGAGGAAGAGGGGAAGACGGTGTAGGTTAGTCAGGGGAGGGGGAGGGGAGGAAGGGGGTTGGGGATAGTGTAGAAAGGGCCACAAAAAGCGATGTGGGAGCTGAAGGCAGAGGTAAAAGACAAGCAGATGCATGCACACATGCACGCATGCACGCAGTCAACAAGTATGCTGACCTCGAGCGTGCGAAGGCGGAGACGTGCCAAGGCCCAGCCAGAGGTAGGGAACGAGCTCCCAGTCAAAGTAGAGCAGGCGCCCGGACGAGGAGGACGAGGAGCCATAGCCCTCCTCAGGCGCACCCCACGCTGGCTCTGGCATAGCTCCTCCAATCTCCACACCCATCGACCCTCCCATCGACCCTCCCACTTCGCCTCCCATCTCCCCACCCCATGCTGGCTGCACCATAGCACCACCACCTATCCCTGTAGTCGCCTCCTTGCCTTCCCATCCCCTGCTCGCCTGCCCCTCAAACCCGATGCTTCCAATCACACTGCTAGCCACACCCCCTGCCTCTCCTGTCCCTCCTGCCTCTCCTGCCATGCCTTCAGAATCAGCTCCAGAATCCCCAACGTCAGAATCAGCAATATCTGCTGCTGCTGCTTCTGCTGCTGCTTCTCCCTCTGCGCTCTCCTCTTCTCCCCCCTCTCGCCCACCACTCTCCTCCTCTTCTTCCTCCGCGTCCTCTCCAGCGGGATCGTCAGGGGCAATAGCCCGAGCTACAGCAACAGCAACAGCGGGCCTGGCTTGGCCCGGGATCACCTCACCCTCTGGCATGCGTGCCCAGAGCAGGCGACGGTGAGAGAGGGCAGATGACAATACGACTGCGTCCCCTGACTCTCTCCCATCTAACTCCTGCTTCTGCTTCTCCTGCTGCTGCTGCTGCTGCTTCTCCTTCTCCTCCTGTTCTTCCGCCTCCTTCCCCTGCTCCTCACCCCCATCCTGTTCCATTATTCCCTCCTCTTCCTTCCGCTTCCTCTCCTCCCTCCCTTCCGCCTCCACCTCTCTCCTCTCCTGCTCTTTAGCCTGCCTCTCCACCGCCCCCAGCACACCCTCCAGGGCCGCCCGCCACTTGGCAACCAGGGGCTTGGGAATGGGCGAGGCGTGGAGAAGGGGGAGGTAGCGCGACAGCATGAGGGCATAGGCGTTGAGGGGGATGTCGGTGTACCGGTGGGGGTTAGGGGAGAAGGGGTCGTCCACCAGACCTGCCATGGGGAATGGGTATGGGTGTTGAAGGGGGGAAGATGGGGTCGCGAATGAGGTGCCCCAAAGCAGATGATTGGAGGGGGAGGGCACGTGCTCAAGACCATGAGGGCATAGGCGTTGAGGGGGATGTCGGTGCACTGGTGGGGGTTAGGGGAGAGGGGATCGTCCACCAGACCTGCAGTTGGGTATGCCGGGAGGAGGTGAAGTGAGGGATGTGGAGGAGAGGCGAGGGAGTTTTTGAGAATTCTCAAAAACACCCTGCAAAATGTGGAGGAGAGGCGAGGGATAGCATAGTACACGGGGTGTGAGTCGTGATGGAGCCTACACAGTGGCTGTGCATGGCCCGAGGCAGACACCTCAAAGCTAGACACTCACAGCTGAGCTGTGCATGGGAGGCCTAACAGAGGAGCAATTGAGCACACGCACAGAAGCGCACAACAGTGCATAACACACCGCAGCATCGCAACGAGATGCCTCTTGTTGACTTTTAAGTCGACTCCGAAGGACATAACACATACCGCAGCCTCGCAGCGTGTACGAGTCCAGCCGCGCACGAGCCAACGTATCCGCACTCCTCGCCTCACTCAGCACCGCACTCCCCCCTTCACCTGCCGCCCCTCCACCGGCTGCAGCCGAAAAGAGTGACTTGAAAGCCGACCACGCAGACTGAGTAGAAGAGGAGGAGGATGAGGTGGCGGAATCATATTGGTGGAGGAGAGCCGAGGGGAGGAGGGACCAGAGGAGGTGGGTGGCGGAGGGGTACGGCTGGTCGGCCCAGGCGTTGAAGCGCACGAGAGAGGAGGAGAGCTGGAGCACTGATGGCAGGCGACCAACACTGGTGGTGGCGGGTGGGTGGTGGAAGGAGCAGGGGAGAAGGGGAAGAATTGAGAGCTCTTGAGTCGAGTAACAGGCTGGATGGACCAGGCGTTGAAGAGGGCAAGAGAGGAGGAGAGCTGGAGCACTGATGGCAGACGACAAACTCTGGTCGTGGTGGGTGGTGCAGGGGGGGACGGGAGAAAAGGGGAGAAAGGAGGGCAAGGGGAGATAGGGAGAAAACGGGGGTCAATGGTGGCAACATACACGTGAGCAATGGGAAACTGTAGGGATGCGGAAGAAAAATACTCGACACTTCAAAACAAAACGAGACATCGCCAAGGCAAGAAAAGGAAGGGAAGAGCATAGTACCCTGCAGTGACGTTCAGCTGGGCACTCCCTGGAAGCACATCAACCGGCAGGGCAATCTGCTCCTGCCACTGCCCTGCCAACCCCTCAAAGCCCCCTGACTGCACGCCCCCCCCGGCAACAGCAGTGGCAGCAGTTTTGTCATGGCCCTGCACTGCGACGCTGCTTGCCACGGTCACTGCCTCCTGCACGCCTTCCACTTGCAGCGGCACCACCAGCACTGGAAATGGCATGGGGGGAAGGACGTGGGGGGCGCGCGCAGCTCGGGAGTATGAATGGCGATGCACCAACGGAACCCATTGAAAAAGGAGAAAGTGAAAGGAAGAAAGGAAGCAAATGGAGAAACTGTAGGGTATGGGCATTGGGTGGTGCTGGGGGTTACCATCGGGGGGGAGGCCGGGTGACTGCACAGTGAAGGAGAGAGCGACAGCGCCCACCACTGATGCCTCTAGGTTGAACCGCACCTGAACAGTACAATACAGGTTGCACGTTTGTTGGCACACACACAGGCATTAGTTGGGTGAAGAACGGCCAGCCATGGGCTTAGATGGATGTTGGGCACAGGGCACATGGGGGGAGCAATGACTTAAGAGATGGATACATATTGGGGGAAGCAGCACAGGGCCAGGCCACAGAAGGCACAGGCGCTATTGGAAAAGACGGGAGTGGGTGGGAGGGGAGGGGGGGGAGGTTAGAGGATGATGAAGCGTGCATGATGAAGAGTGCATGATGGAGCAGACATACCTCCAGAGGCCCTGTTGGAAAGACCTTGTCGTCTTTCTCGTTGAGTCCCACCACCTGCACCACTCCTCTCGTGCCGCTAATCGCACCACCGCTCCCATCAGCAGAATCGGACGACAGGGGCGCCACCACCGCAACAGACACAGTCACAGGCATGCCCGCACCTGCTCCCACACCCACCACCCCTCCCTCTGTAGCAACATTCCCCACCCCTGCCCCGCCTACTCCTCCTGCTTCTCCTGTCCCTTTTCCTGCCGCTAGCATGGAGTCTGCGAGGGTCTGATCCAGGTTGACAGTGACCCCAGCTGTGAACCGATCTCCTGCTCGCACGATCCGAGGCACGGAGGGCACCAGGGCGAGAGGGCGGGATGCCACTAGCTCTGTCTCCGCTGCACCGAACCTGCTGCTAGCTCCGGTGACAGCGTAGGCTCGGAGAACGAACGTGGAGATAGAGTCCGGGAGGCGGAAACGGAAGGTGGCAGTGGCAACACGGGAGGGGTCCGCGGACGAAGAGGAGGAGGAGGAAGAAGTGGTGGTGATGGTTTCGATGGGTGCGGTCGCAGTGCGACAGAGAGGGGTGACGGTGAAGTTGGTGCGCTTCTTGGCAAGCGCAAGTGCCGAGGCCCCCATTCCCAGAACCCCAGCACCACCACCGACAGCACCAGCACCCGCGGCGGACTGTGGACCATCCATGAGGAGCGCGGATTTGTCAGCAGCTGCTGCATCAGACTCAGGATGAACAGCCGTCGCTGCCATCTTAGGCATGGCTGCTCGCATCATCATCATCTCGCCGTTCTCTGCACCACCACCACCGGCGGCATCACGAGCAGAAGCAAATGAAGCAGCGTCGCCAGCCAAGCCGGACACTCGCGAGACCGAGCCCATAGCCATTGCCGTCGTTGCCATGGCGTACGCGCGCTTGCCCCCACCCCAGCCGTAGGGCATCGGCCCGTAAGGGTCGGGTCCTGGGGAGGAACCGGGAAGGTGAGGGGGGATTGGAATGAAGGGAAGGGATGTGGGTGAGAAGGAATAAGTGGCAGGCTTGGTAGCTGTAGGCTGTAGCAGGTGTGCAGGTCCACACGGATCAGTGGAAACGTAGAAAATGCAGAGAATGAGAGAGTAACGAGGTGACTTTTGAGTCGGCTCAAAAGTCACCTCGTTAAGAAGTGGCAGGCGTGGTAGCTGAAGCAGGTGCAGGTCCACACGGGCAAGTGGAAACGCAGAAAAGGCAGAGAAAGAGAAAGAAAGGGCAGGCAGGCAGGCAGGCGGGCGGGCGGGCGGGCGGGCAGGCAGGCAGGCAGGCGGGCAGGCAGGCAGGCAGGCAGGAGGGGCACCGTGTGTGAAGTTATCTGCCATAGAGGAGAAGCAGACATCTTGGGCGATGGGCAAGCCGCCTGCCTGCATCCACCATCGCCTGTGCCCGCTGCTGTGTATCCAATCAAGTGGCCTGCACACACAACCGATGGGTGGGTGGGGCATGGATGGAGCACGGAGCAGAAAAGCAGCGGCAGGTGATGCGGTGTGAAGCAGAGACGTCCTGGGTAATGGGCAGGCCGTCTGCATTCAACCACCATCGCCTGCGCTTGATGCTGGCCTTCCAATCAGACGGCCAAGAATCCATCCAACCACCATTGACTGCAGCCAAGAAGGCACTTACTGCAGCCAAGAAGGCACTTACTGCAGCCAAGAAGGCACTTACTGCAGCCAAGAAGGCACTTACTGCAGCCAAGAAGGCACTTACTGCAGCCAAGAAGGCACTTACTGCAGCCAGGAAAGCACTTACTGCAGCCAGGAAAGCACTTACTGCAGCCAGGGGTTCTCCTCGCGTTGGTGCTGGTAGGCCTGTGCGAGGGCGCGGATGGCGGAAGGCTTGAGCATGGCATCATGCGACAGCACCAGGAAGGGCGACGACGCGTAATAGGACGGTGACGCGGGCTGGAGGTCTGATGTGGGGTCTGATAGTGGATGCGGCATCTGGTGTCGGGATGGAGTGAGGGCATGGGAGGGTGGGTGTTTTAGGCGCCTCAAAAGTCGTGGGGCAGCCCAGGGAAGGGTGGCGATACGTAGAAAAACTGCAACGTGGAGGTTGGAGCTCTCATGTGGGTTCCGAGGACAGCGGATGCGGCATCTGGCATCCGGCATCCGGCATCTGGCAGGTCGAGGAAGGCCTCGTCCACAGCGTAACCAGCAGCAGCACCTGCATGTGCTCCCTGCAAGAGACAGAGGCCACGCCACTCACGTGACTCATGGCACTCACGTGACTCATGGCGCTCACGTGACTCATGGCACTCACGTGACTCATGGCACTCACGTGACTCATGGCGCTCACGTGACTCACGTGGCTCACATGGCTCACATGGCTCACACACGGCACGCATGTCCTGCGACTGGCATGACTCACCAGGTCGAAGAAGGCCTCGTCCACAGCGCGACCAGCAGCAGCAGGAGCAGTACCTGCATGTGCTCCTGCAAGAGACACAGAGACCACGCCACTCCCCGCCACGCAGCAGCCCGTCCTGAAGCAGCTGACTTGACTCACCAGATCGAGGAACGCCTTGTCCACCGCCACCAGCAGCACCTGCACTTGGCTGTCTGCCACCGCTGCCCCGCCCTCCGGTGTTGCGTCCAGTCCCGTGACCCGCACTGCCACCTCCACCTCACTGCCTGCTGACATATGGCCCGGAGGCACCGCCTGGGACATACGAAGAGGAAGGGGGGGAGGACGAAGAGTGGGAGCAATGCATATGGGTTTTTGGGGATGTTGGTGTGGCTCGAAGGGGTCTTTATATTGGGTGAGGTGCGGGAGGAGTAAAAAAAGTGCAAAGGGAGGAGGGATTACGTAAAGAGGGAGCGTAGACGAGGGATCGGATCAAGGGGGGTAGAGCGAGAAAAGAGGGAAGTGAAAGACGGAGAGATAGGCAAACTGGCGGAAGGTGGAAGGGACGGGACGAAGCTTACAATGTCAAGGGAGAGGCGCGGAGGGGGCGTGGGTGTGACGAGCAGCGCCAGGTGCAGCACGAAAGATGAGGGGCCTGCAATGTCCGCAATGACTGTAGTCGGCACCTTCGCAGCCACTGCCCCCAACGGGTGCGTGCTCTGGCGAGGCGAGACCACCACCACCGTGACAGCACAGCTGGGGTCGCACCTCCCATCCACCACCACTGGGAGCTCCACTATCCCTCGCTCCAACCCCCCGTGCGTCTCCCGCCATACCTCCCCTTTCTCTGCTTTCCCTGCCTTCCCTGCCTTCCCAGCGTGGCTTGGGTCCACCTGCAGGAGTGCTGCCGCCCCCTCGTATGGGTTCTCGAAGCGCAGCGTGGCTGTTTCGCCAACCTGGTAGGAAGGCTTGTTGAAGGTGGCCCTGGGTGGGGGGAGGGAGTAGAGCGGGCAGGACTGCCAACCCTGGGAGAAGAGAGGTGGGGGGGGGGGAAGAAGCGGGGAAAATGGGATTGCGGGGAAAATGGGATTGCGGGGAAAATGGGATTGCGGGGAAAATGGGGTTGCGGGGAACGGGAAGCGAGGAGGGTGAACGTGGAGGGGACAGAGGCACATTTGAAAAGAGGGAGCTCAGGACAGCAAGTGAGTAAGTACACCCGCTCTATGATATGTCCCCTCACAAACGCTTCCCCCGATCAAATCTGACAGCGTCAACCGATCCGGCGAGGACACCTGGAACAAAACGACGCAAAACCACTCCAACTTTCTCGCTTTATAGCAAATGACAGAGGCGCCAAAATATGCCGCCCGTGCAGATTCGGGGGCCTCTGATGCATAACGGGTGTACAACGGTTAGAGGAAGTAATGATAGGAGGTTAGAGAATGCATGCAGGGCAGGGATGGGAAAATGGGTGATAAGGCTAAGCGGAGGAGAGATCAGAGAGAAGAAGCAGAGGAGGTGGGACAGAGACACGTCACACACCACCATGGGGAGGAGGACGAACCTGCAGTGTGTTGCCAAAGTATGCAGAGGAGCAGGCCTTAGTACCCTCAGGGTCAGTAATACACGAGAGCAGGCGAGCCCTCCCCACATCAGGCACCACAAACGCACACTCAGATGGTAACCCCTCCAACCCCTCTGCGGTCCCTGCCCCCCCTGCAGCTTCAGCAGCAGCAGCAGGGTCTGGATTTGCAATGGGCAGGCGGGGGGGGGATAGGGTGGCGTTACAGGAGGCGACAGTCTCCTCCTTCCAGGAGAGCACCGCCCCTGAGTCGTCAGTAATGGTGCGATTCAGCATCAGGGAGAGCGTCACCACGGAAGGCAGAACAACACCAGCGTTAGTGCCATCCCCAGCGGTGCGGCCACTGCTGCCGCTGCTGCTGCTGCTGCTGGCAACAGTGCCCCCAGCCCCACCGTCCCACATTGGCGCATCCGTAGCAGTAGCACCACGATAGACCGGAGCGTCACCACTGGCCGTGTCCCCAGCAACATCAGCGGGGTTGAGCAGGGAGACTAGGCGGGCAGAGGCATGGAAGGGCTGGCCCGGGACAGGGTTGGGCACAGAGCGAGTCACACGCGTGACCCAGTCGCTGAGGGCGACTGGGACGGACGTGGCGTCGGAGAGAATCTCCCTGGTGGGACCCACCCACTCCGTTGACAGCGAGAGAGAACCCACCTGGAAGGGGGGAGAGGGGAGAGGGCGGGAGGGGAATGGGGAGAGGTGGAAGGTTTGGCACAGAGAGAGTCATGTGAGTGTGGCCCAGTCGGTGAGGGCGACCGGGAGAGACTTGGGGTCGGAGAGAAGCTTCTTGGTGGGACCTAACCAGTCTGATCCGAGGGAGAGAAGAACCCACTAAAAGAAAGGTATGGGGGATGGGGGAGGGACGGAGAGCGCATGGGGGAGATATGGAGAATGAAGTGAAAAGAGGAGCAGGAGGGGGGGAGGAGGTCAGAAAAGGAGCGCTGAATCGCTGATGGATGCACGGCCAGCCAGGGAAGAAAAAGAAGCGGAGCCAGCGCCAGGGGCATTGGGATGGGATGGGATGGGATCGGTTGGGATGGGACAAAAACATTCAAATGGAGTGGGGGGGGATTGGGAAAGGATGGTAGGAGGAGGAGTGACAAGTGAGGGCCACCAGGGATCGGGGTGGCTACCATCGATGGGCAAGAGAGAGAGGACTACGAGAACCTGTGGGAAGCTGTGAGACGCATAAAACAATGACAGGCAATGTGAGGACGAATGTGCATGTATGCGTGGGGGTGTGCATGTGTATGCATGTGCGTGTGCGTGTGTGTGTGCGTACCAGTGTGCGGGTGGGAGACGCGAGGGCAGCATCGATATCCAAAATCGCCACTCCGACACCGCTGCTGTTGGTGCGCACAACAAGCACACCCCCCACACACACGCGGCTCACAAACCGCTTCCCAGACACATAACCACTCCCTGCCTCCTCTCCCCCCCCCCCCGCACACCCCTGCACTCCGCCTTCCCCTCTCCCCCTCCTCCAGCCCAAACCGATTCAACTCCTCCCCCTCCCCACTGGAGGTTCATCTCCCAACCAGGCTCCTCCTCCTCTGCCCGGTAATACCCAAACGCCCAAATCACCTTCACCTCCTCATCAGCCACCGGCCCTCCAGTGTACGTCCTTGTGGTAACAACCACCTCTAGCCCGCGCCCAATGCGCGCCACAGGCCGGGAGGTGGAGAGAGAGAGGGTCACGGTGGGGGGACGGGGGTCGGAGACCTGGAAGTACGCATCTCCATTCACCCAGATGCCGTCTGTCTCTTGGGCTGGCTCGAGCTGGAGTCTGGCTGAGCCTGTATCGGCGTCTGCCGGGAGGGGGATGTCAGCTAGGAAGGTGGCGAACTGGGGGTGTATGGTCACAGGGATGCGCTTGGGGGTTTCGGAGTTGGGAAGGGCGCAGCTTAGGACATGTCGGTGGGACGCCTCGGGTAGGTGGAGCTGGAGGAAGGGGAGAACGAGGGAGGGGGAGGGGGGGGGGAAGGGGGAGGAGGGAAAGGGGAGTGGGGAGAATGAAAGGAGGGAAAAGAGAGCAGAGGCGAGGAGTGGGTGGAGTGGAGGCACGGACGGATGGGGGGGGGGGGGGGTCGAATGGACGAGGCGAGGCAGTGGATGGGGGTAAGAGAAGACTGTGAGGAAGAACAAAACGGGGAGAACCTTGAGAAAGAGCAGAATAACGCACCTTGCCATCAGGCCCAGCCTGTCGGATCACACCGAAGACATGCACGGTGTCTCCGGGGCGGTACAGCGGGCGATCCAGCACCAGTGACGCTTGCAGGGAGGACTGGGAGGAGGAGTGGGAGAGGCCAGAGTCGCGACAGGGCAGTACGAAGTTTGGGAGCAGCATAAAACGCTCGGATGAGGAGGAGGTGGAGGGGGAAGGGGAGAAACGAGAGGTGTAGGTGACTGATGCCTGTATGCCTGCTCTGCCGCAGAACTGATCAGGAACGGCTGCAAGGGAGGGAGGGGTGTGAAAGGGGGTGAATGTGAGTGCTGAGGAGGGGGGAATGGAAGGAAGAAATGGGAGGAGTGGAAGGGGCAGGCGGCGGGGTGAGAGAACGGATGCGTTCTGCATTGGCATAGCATGGCATGGCATAGCATAGCATGGCATGGCATGGCATGGCATGTCATGGCATAAATAGCATAACATGGCAGTCCAGCACCAGCACAAAGCAACAGACTCGCAGGGATATTTCAAGACTTTGATTAGAGGGAAACAAGAGGAGAGCGAAGACAGGAAGGAAGGAAGGAAGGAAGGAAGGAAGGAAGGAAGGAAGGAGGGCAGGAAGGAAGGAAGGAGGGCAGGAAGGAAGGAAGGAAGGAGGGCAGGAAGGCAAGAAGGCAGGAAGGCAGGAAGGCAGGAAGAGAAAACGGGAAGCAGGGTAGATTGTGACACCTGGAAGAGCCAGCAGCACGATCCCAGATTTGTCGGTCGTGCCCTTGATTGCTTTAAAAGTCAACGGGTTGAGGTCATCGCCCTGGGAGGATGGAGAAGGAGGGACGACCAGAAAGGCAGGGGGACGAAGATGAGGAGGAGGAGAAGACGAGGAGGAGGAAGGGAGGGCCAGGGGGGCAGAAGGCATGCAAACAGCGTGGCAGCAAAGAGCTTGCCTGACGGGCTGCATTACCTTGTCCTCAGAGATCAACAGGAGACACAGTGGGTCCTTTAGCAGGGCTCACATCACTCAACCACGTGAATTCTGAGACGGCTCCATAAAAAGGTTGTGAAACAGCGCAGGAGCAACGAGCTCGCCTGGTGCACTGCAAGCCTTGCCATGCATAGAAGCAGGGACACAGCAGCTCCTTCAACAGCGTTGATGATGTGTTCTGCTCCTGAGAATTCTCAAAATCTTGACGACAGCGCTTCTCAAAAACAGCGCTAGCACTGTTTAGTCCAGTCAAATCAAAGGTCATCTCGCTATTGTACCTCGTCCATAGAGGGAAGCAGGGACACCGTCTCTCCCTCAACAGGGATCGCATCACTCGACCACGTGACTTCTGAGACGTCCCAAAGCTACGTGAGCAACGGACTCGCCTAGCGGGCTGCCTTACCTCGTCCATAGAGGGAAGCAGGGACACAGTGGCTCCCTCAACAGGGCTCGCATCACATCACTCAACCACGTGACGTCCCAAAGCTACGTGAGCGAGCATCACGTGAGCAACGAGCTCGCCTAGCTGGCTGCCTTACCTCGTCCATAGAGGGAAGCAGGGACACAGTGGCGCCCTCAACAGGGCTCGCATCACTCAACCGAGTGACTTCTGAGCCGTCCCAAAAGCTACGTAAGCGAGCATCGTGTGAGCAACAACGAGCTTGGCGAGCGGGCTGCCTTACCTCGTTCATAGAGGGAAGCAGGGACACCGTGGCGCCCTCAACAGGGCTCGCATCACTCAACCACGTCACCCACACCGCTGCGTGCTCGTCCCCTGCTTGCGCCATCACCGCAGCCACCTCCGTCTCTGCCACAACCACCGCTGGCTGCTTAGGCGCCCGCACTCCACCGCTGCCACCACGCCTCCCATTACCCCCGCGAACGCCAAGACCAGAAGGGTCAAAGCGAGGAGTATCCACAGCATCATCCACCGCGTTGGCCTCCTCCTCCGTGGGGTTGGGGTCTGAGTAGACGCAGCTGGCACGGCGAATAACAAACATGCCGGTCGGGGCGAGGAGAGAGGACGCGTTGAGGGCGGGCGAGGCGAGGGAGAAACCGCCCTTGCTGCCGTTGAAGTGGAAAAGGGAACTGGAGGCGGAAGGCACGCAGGGGGTCACTGCGAATGCGGTGGACTGAGACTTGGTGCCCTGCTGCTGCTGCCATGGCTCAGCCTCACCTGCTGGGCCGGAAGCAAGCCAGGGGACGGAGACAGCACCAGCAGAAGCGGCAGCGGAAGCGGAATCAGAGGAGGAGAAGGATGAGAAGAGAGAGGAGGAAGAAGCGGAGGCAGGGGTGTCGGGGACAGGAAGGCTGGTGACCGGCCAGGCGAGGGCAAGAGGAGGCCTGTCTGCGCCCAAGTACGGTGGCAGCTGGAAAAAGAGCGGCCAGAGCCTATCCCATGCCCCTGAACTGTCATCACCAGCAGCCGCAGCAGTGGCAAGACCAGTAGCAGTGCTGGTGGCGTCCAGGAGCACAAGGGAGTGCGGGCCCACTGCGAGGAAGGGCTCCAAGCGCTCGGTGATGATGGTCATGCGGGAGGACCGCAGGGGCAGGCCGAATCCGTCCCGCACCGACGGGCACGCTGCTACTGAGAGGGTCTAAGGAGGGGAAGAAGTTTGGAAAAGAGGTGGGGGCGGGATGGTGGAGCGTATGAGTGAGTGCGTGTTTGTGGGTGGGTGGGTGGGTGCATGCGTGCTTGAGTGTGTGAAGGATAGGAAGAGAAACAAACGGGTGGGACGGGGAAGAGAGGTGACAAGGTGGGGAGACCGTGGGGCTTGAATACAGACTACATCACCTTGGGTATCGGGAAAGGGCAGAAAACGTGTAAAACGAATGCACTTGCAAGGGCCAATGGAGGGATAAGGGCAGGCAGGCTTACATATTTAGCATCGGGCTCCAAGGGTGCTGAGAGAAGAAGAGAGCCGTTGGAAGGGCGAGATAAGTCAAAAGACACGGCTGCTGCTGCAGCTGCCATTGATTCCTTGGAGTGCGAGGCAGCAGAGTGGTGCAGAGTCAAGCAGGCCTTGAGATCAGCGAGAGGAGAGAGGAGGCCGTGTGGCAGTGGCAGGGTTATCTTGCGAGACATCAGGCTGCAGTGCAGGGCAGAGCAGAACAGACGAGACGAGAAGAGAGCAGAAAAGAAGAAAAGATGAGAGAAGAGAAGAGGAGAGAACAGATGAGAGGAGAAGAGAACAGAGCAGAACAGAACGCGAATGCACAGGCACAGGCAAATGAAAAGGAGGGAAATGAGTCCGAGCTCGGGAATGAAACAGGAGGTAGGGGTGGAGAATGCGTGCAGCTGGAATGCGTCAATCAAATCCTTGCAAGTACTATGACGCAAGGGAGTGGTGGCCGGGTGGTGGCATTGGGATTGGGCATGGAAGGAAGGAGACATGAGATGAGATGTTCCCACACAAAACGCTGTTCCCGCAAAATGCTCCCACAAGAAACACTGCTTTGCATACCACGAGAGAGACGTTCCCTCCCATCCCAGTAGAGACACGTTCCCCCAGCAGCAGTACTCACTTGATGGGGGATGTCCCGTCTATAGATCCATCGTACGTAATGTGAAACAGGTACGCCCCTCTGACTTCCACCACAAGCGGCCGCTTCAGAGCCCCCGCCTTGCCATAGTACTTGCTTCCCCGGGGCATGACCACATGGTATTCAGTGTCGGGGGCGAGCGGGCCCCACCCAGCCGCGCTGAGCTTGCTGGGGTTGCTCACGGACCGGCTGTCCTTGCTCCAGTCAGCTGCCAAGGCGGCTGCCACGGCTGCCTTTCCTGACACTTTTGTTCCGTCTGGTGCTGCTGTGAAGGACACGACTGCACAGCGAACGATGGCCCTGCTGCTGCTGCTGCTAGCACCGCTGGGGTTGGTGGTGTTGGTGGTATCAGCAGCGAGGGAGGCAAGGGAGAAGGTGTCCCTGGGGCAGGGCTTGACGAGGGTGGTCACGCCAGGTACCACCTTGTTGGCCTTGGTGCGCAGCTGGAGGGGTAGGGGAGGAAGGGAAGAAGGAAGGAGAGTGGGGCGCAAACGGGGGGAGAGGGCGAATGAGAGGAATGGAAGCAGCGCGAATGGTAGATCAGGCGGCGGGAAGTGGAAAGTGATGTGGTTGAAATCAAAGGCGTGGAAGCGGGGAGAGGTGTGGACAAAGGGAGGGAAGTGAAGGGGCAGGCATGGAGCCTGACAGGAGGACAGTCAGGAAGGAGGAATGACACCAACTTGACTCCAATGTCAGAGAGGGAGAGGGCGTGAGTGAGCTATATGAGTGTGGGTGTGGTGTGGGTGCGTCTCGTCGAGGGGGGTTGTGGAAAAGGAACCTGGATAAGGCTTGGGAGCAGGTTGATGTCCACAAGGGCAGAGAAGGAGAGGAGCAGCCTGGAAGTTGGAGCACGAGCGGGAAGGGGGTATAAGGAAGGCGTTTCCGGCGAAGGTTGTGAAGCCACATGTAGCATAAGGCGAATGGAGAAAGGCGGATGCCAGGACAACATGGCACATGGCAGGACAGGGGGGGTGGAAGTTAGTAATCGGAAGGAAGGAAAGTATGAATGGGACTGATCGAAACTACGGAGACTGAAAAGCGAGCATGAGAGGCAATGGAAGAGCGAGAGAGAAGTGATTCGGGAGAGGCGGGGGGTCGGGGGGGGGGAGGGAAGGGGAGAGAGGACCAGGGACAAGGTGTGGTGTGGGCTCACTGTGCATCGGGGGGAGCTTCACTTGGGAAACTGGATGACTGTGCTGACCAGGAGCCCTGGCGAGGAGGCGAGTTGGAGCAGCATGGCGGACAAGGGGGGGGGGAGGAGAAGGGAATGAGAGGGGAGAGAGAGGGGAGAGAGAGGGGAGAGAGAGGGGAGAGAGAGAGGAGAGAGAGAGGGGAGAGAGAGGGGAGAGAGAGGGGAGGGAGAGGGGAGGGAGAGGGGAGAGAGCGGGGGAGAGAGAGGGGAGAGAGAGGGGAGAGAGAGGGAGAGAGAGGGGAGAGAGGGAGAGAGAGGGGAGAGAGAGGGAGGAGAGGGAGGGGAAGGAGAGGGGAGAGATAGGGGAGAGAGAGGGGAGAGAGAGGGGAGAGAGAGGGGAGAGAAGGAAGAGAGAGGGGAGAGAGAGAGGGGAGAGAGGGGAGAGAGAGGGGAGAGAGAGGGGAAGGAGAGGGGAGAGAGAGGGGAGAGAGAGAGGGGAGAGAGAGGGGAGAGAGAGGGGAGAGAGAGGGGAGAGAATGAGGGCCAGTCGAATGTATGGCACACATGCAGAGTTATCGGTTGCGAAAAGTCACATGGCGTCGTTGTCAGTGCACTTGCATGGCATGGTCATGCGTGCATGGCATGGTCATGCGTGCATGACATGTCTGCCCTTCCTCTCGCTGCCCTTTATCTCTCTGCCCTTTGTCTCTCTGGCCTTCGATTCCTCTGCTCTGCATGTCTCACCGTGGCAGTGTAGGTCATGGGTGAGAAGACGATGCTGAGAGACATGGTGAGAGGCTTCGTGAGCACAGTAAGAGCAGGCGGGGGGGATGCCGCATCCCAGCTGCCACAGAGAAAGAGAGAGAGAGAGAGAGCGGCAGAACAGCACAACATGGAAAGGCCAGAGTCAGACGAGACAATGATAAGGAAGGGAAAGGTGTGATGGAAGCAGAGAGATGCAAATAGATGTCATGCAGCGAAGACAGCTTCAGGCGAGAGAGGTAAACAGGGAGCTGAAGCTGAGCATGAGAGGAAGTTGGGAGGGAGGGAGGGAAGGGCGAGGGCAGAGGGCAGAGGGCAGAGGGCAGAAGATAGAGGGCAGAGGACAGAAGGCAGAAGGCAGAAGGCAGAGGGCAGAGGGCAGAGGGCAGAGGGCAGAGGGCGGACCTGGTGCCATCGAAGGCTGTGAAGTTGGCATTCCAGGTGAGGGAGCAGGAGAGGTCAGAGGGCCACGTCTCTAGGGGATCAAACCGGAACACGAACGACGTCACCCTGCACTCACATGGACACACAGGCACACAGGACAACCAGACGGTTAAAAAACAGCTGTCGATGATGACCCTGAACGCGTGTACGTACATACATACCAATGTGATGGCAAGTAAAACGTAACAGGCCACCATCCACCTCGAAGCAATCTTACACCCAATGCCGCTAACCGCGGGCCAACATTGGCCCAGCAACAGCCGAGCCGAGCAACGTCGACGACCCACACCACACCACTCACCCCGCACCGCACACCCAAGCCGACGTGAACCAGGCGCCTGCACCTGCCTATCTCCACTCCCCGTCCCCCTCCTGCCGCACCCTCTCTCTCCCTCTCTCTCTCTCTTTCTCACCATCTGGCACGACCAGCAATGCCGTCGACGCCCTTGCACCCCAGGGAGAAAGGCACCAGCGACGGGGGCAGGCCCCACTGCAGCGCTGCTGCCGCACCTCCTCCCCCCACTCTGCCTGGCTCTCCCGCCCCCTCTGAGCCAACCTGAGAGGCATCAAAGCCAAAGTCGCTGCCTAAGGCGATGACAGCGCGGTTGAACACCACCTGGTGGGGGGATAACGATACGGAATACGGAGTAGGGGTAATGCGGGGTGGATGGGGTGCATGCGAGGGACGGGGACAGGAGACTGGTGAGGCAGATGAGAGGTGATGTGTGGTGGGCGGACACGGGGAGGGGAGGGTTATGATGCAGGCAGGTGAAGGACGCTGCAACCGAGCTTGCTTGGGGATGTTTTGATGGATGTTTTGATTAATGCGTGAGCATGGAAGGAAGCATGTGAAAGGCATACCCAGTACTACCGCAGTGGTGCAGACCTTTGGCACGTCCTGGCTGGGCACAAAGTATACACCATTCCGATCAAATTTGACAAGCATGAAGTAAGCATGCATGCCATGGCCGAGATTGTAAGCGTGCCTCCATGTGAGCATGTGAGCATGTGAGCATGTGAGCATGTGAGCAAGTGGGCATGTGGGCATGTGAGCATGTGAGCATGTGAGCATGTAAGCATGTGGGCATGTGGGCATGTGGGCATGTGGGCATGTGAGCATGTGAGCATGTGGGCATGTGGGCATGTGGGCATGTGGGCATGTGGGCATGTGGGCATGTGAGCATGTGAGCATGTGAGCATGTGAGCATGTGAGCATGTGAGCATGTGAGCATGTGAGCATGTGAGCATGTGAGCATGTGAGCATGTGGGCATGTGAGCATGTGAGCATGTGAGCATGTGGGCATGTGAGCGTGTGAGCATGTGAGCATGCGGGCATGTGAGCATGTGAGCATGTGAGCATGTGAGCATGTGGGCATGTGACCATGTGACCATGTGACCATGTGAGCATTTGAGCATGTGAGCATGTGGGCATGTGAGCATGTGAGCATATGGGCATGTCAGAATTTCAGCATGTGAGCATGTGAGCATGTGAGCATGTGGGCATGTGAGCATGTGAGCACTTGAGCATGTGAGCATGTGAGCATCTGAGCATGCGAGCATGTGGGCATGTGAGCATGTGGGCATGTGAGCATGTGAGCATGTGAGCATGTGGGCATGTGAGCATGTGAGCATGTGGGCATGTGGGCATGTGAGCATGTGGGCATGTGGGCATGTGAGCATGTGAGCATGTGAGCATGTGAGCATGTGGGCATGTGAGCATGTGAGCATGTGAGCATGTGAGCATGTGGGCATGTGAGCATGTGGGCATGTGAGCATGTGAGCATGTGGGCATGTGGGCATGTGAGCATGTGAGCATGTGGGCATGTGAGCATGTGAGCATGTGAGCATGTGAGCATGTGAGCATGTGGGTATGTGAGCATGTGAGCATGTGAGCATGTGGGCATGTGAGCATGTGAGCACTTGAGCATGTGAGCATGTGAGCATGTGAGCATGTGAGCATGTGAGCATGTGAGCATGCGAGCATGTGGGCATGTGAGCATGTGGGCATGTGAGCATGTGAGCATGTGAGCATGTGAGCATGTGGGCATGTGAGCATGTGAGCATGTGAGCATGTGAGCATGTGGAGCATGTGGGCATGTGAGCATGTGAGCATGTGGGCATGTGAGCATGTGAGCACTTGAGCATGTGAGCATGTGAGCATGTGAGCATGTGAGCATGTGAGCATGTGAGCATGCGAGCATGTGGGCATGTGAGCATGTGGGCATGTGAGCATGTGAGCATGTGAGCATGTGAGCATGTGGGCATGTGAGCATGTGAGCATGCAAACATGTGAGAGAGGAGAAGCAGCACCTGAATGGGGCGCAGCCCGCTAATTCGTGCTGTAGCGGCCGTGGCGGTGCCTCCTGCCGCTGAAGCCCCGTCTCTACCCCGGGCTTTGCGGGGAGACTCCGTCACTCCTGGCAGCACGGACAGCACCCTGAGAGGAAGTCGACCTGCATGCATGCAGAGAGGGGATGGAGAAGGAAAAAGAGGTGATATAGGAGATGCGGCTATCGGGGTCGACGAAACCCGCGCAGACTCTAGAGAGAGCTGATGCCATGTGATGGTGCTAAAAAAGAAGAAGAAAAAGAGCACATCGTCTAACGGATGCATTGGTGCGCTGTACACGGCGCTACAGCGTACCACGCCAGTTTTCACACCTGGAATAACCTGTGAGAGTCCCGCCAGTGCTTGAAAAAAACAGGGCACGGGGATGGGAGGGTCCCGCCAGCGCTTGGAAACGTTGACTCTGTAGGCTCACCTTGGAAGAGGCCTCGAGGAGCCGCGCTTGCAGGGTGATTTTGAAATTCTCAAAAACACCCTGCAAAATCTGGGAGGGTCCAGCCAGCGCTTGGAAAGGTTGACTCTGTGGGCTCACCTTGGAAGAGGCCCCGAGGAGCCGCGCTTGAGGCGTCGCCGTTGGACGACGCTGCGACGAGAACGACGGCCGGTGCGAGAGAGGCCAGCGACAGCAGAACGAGGAGAAACGGCGTGCGGTATGGCCGCACGGCCGAGGCACGCTCCATTGGGAAACGATGGAACGACGTCTCTGGTCTAGGAACTGGAACGACGAGGCAGGAGTGCTACGCGGCCACTGCAGCAGTACCCCTGATCTATCTTTTAGGACTCGAGCTACTATACACCTCGTAAGCTTGAAAGCATGCCAGAGGTTTCAATCATCGCTGTATCATGCCGCAAGCGACACTCCACAAGAGCTAGACGCTGTGTGCCAGGACACAGAAGGCTCTATCTCTCGAATCTGGCTTTAATCCGCTCAGTCCGAAACGCGAGTTCCTAGTTTCCTCGTATGCTCGCACACCCGCTGTCTGAAATCTTGCACTGTGGGAGTTGCTGCTGCCTGACAGCCAGAAAATCAAATGTTGAAACCAGAAAGGCATGGCATCTCGCATCTCATCTCGCTTTGTGTCTGTATGAGCAGAAGGGGTTCACTTCACTTCTGCTCTCCTTTCCAGCCAACACTTTTTCCCAAGAATGCTGAAATCCGCTGCTTCGGTCGGCCTGGTTCGTTACAGCCGTACTATTTCGGCGAGCCTGATTCCTCGGTTAGGACTTCACCTTCCTACATCACCTCAGTTGGCGTTGCTTGCAACCACTGTCGCACCAAGGTGGTTCGGGTCAGGCCCGAACAAACAGCCAATTGGCGAGGCCAGGAGAGACAGCTACGGTTTGAGCCTGCGTACAGTAACACGGCGAGCTTCGGCTTCGAGGTTGTCGGCGGTCTGAGGTCGAGGAGCTTCGGGGAAGGTGGATCCGGTGTCCGTCACCTCCCCAATAACGTATCACGGCGATATGCGTTAGTGGAACAGTCGGATCAATAACCAATGTACACTTCATGAAAGCACTCAGGACATTAAATACCTCTATTGGTCATACACCTCCTTATGTCATAAAACACTCAACAGCAGCATCATTTCCACACTACAAAAGCATCACACACAATCGCTATCAAAACCACACTATTCAAAGCTGAGTACCAGACCTCACTACAGTCCTCATTTTCACTACAACGGTATATGCAACAAAGCTAAGCCTAGCTCCTCCCACCCATCATCTCCCAGCTAGTGCCAATGTAAGAAATAATCGAGGAACGCTACGATCAGAATTGAGAGTGGGTAGAGAGCGAGCACGGGGAACGCGAGCCAGGTCTGGAAGGTACGCCTGGTACCGCCCAGCACGCCGACAATAAACGTGTTGAGCAGGATGATTGTGACCTCCGCACTGAACTGCCACTTGAGCGAGCGGAAGTACACCAGGGCCAGGAACGTGCCCAGACACCTGGTGGGGACGGGTCACGGGGAATAGAGGGGAGATGATAGGTGATTGTGAGGACCATCCCGAAGTCCCAAGTCTTTCACGAATCACATGGTGTTGTCAATCAATATTGCTTCATGGAAAGGCCTGTGAGTACGTGAGCCAGATGGTGCACGTCCATGTGAGGCGCCGACGTTTGAGGGTACCCCCAACATCACCTCAAGTCCCATTTCTCAAGTCCCAGCCCCGCGACTCACATGGTGGTGTTCATGGAGATGGCGCCGTACAACTGCAAGTAGGTGATGGAGATGGTGCGCTTGCATGTGATGCATCGATGTTTGAGGCGCCTCAAGTATCACCCGAAGTCCCAACCCCTATGACTCACATGGTGTTGTTCATGGAGATGGCGCCGTACACCTGCGAGTAGGTGAGCGAGATGGTGCGCTTGCGGCGCTTCATGGCGAAGATGAGGCACGAGATCAGCTCACTCGCATTCGACGCCAGCGGCGTCACCACAAACGCCACGAAGAACGGCGGGATGTGCGACGCCCTGCACAGGGGGGAGTCAAGTGGAGAGGAGAGGAGAGGAGAGACAAAGGTGTGTAAGCGGATACTTGATTCCAGCGGCGTCACCACAAAGAGCCACAAAGAGCCACAAAGAGCCACAAAGAGCCACAAAGAGCCACAAAGAGCCACAAAGAGCCACAAAGAGCCACAAAGAGCCACAAAGAGCCATAAAGAGCCACAAAGAGCCACAACGAGCCACAACGAACCATGAAGAAAAAGGGATGTGCGACGTTTTACCGCGCGATACACACCAGCAGAGAAGGGCGCATAGGGGGTGCAGGTAGGATCAGAAGGCAACAGGAGAAGGAAAAAGGAGCGGAGCGACATCGGAGGATAGACAAGCAAGGCTATCTGAGGAGGCTGCGAATAAGGACGAAAGAAGTTGGGCCAAAAGGGCAAAGAAGGCAAAGGGCAAAGTTGACAACGGGCAAAGTTGACAGACGGGAAGAACGACAGAGGAACGAATGTGAAGCGCTGGGGCGAGGTGTGGGGAGGTGAGGGAAGGTTTGCGATACATACTTGGAGAAAGAGGTGATGGAATCAACCACCGGGTCAGCAAAGATAGCTACCAGCAATGTCCCCCCCACTATCAGCAAAATGGCCTGAGAGGAAAGAAAGGGGGAACGGGGGGAGAGAGGGGGGGGAAGTGGGAGATAGAGGTAAAGAGGAGAGGAGATGAAAGAGATTTGGAAAGGGAGGTATGGGGAGAGGGGGAGGAGCGAGGGGAGAGGAACGGAGGGAGGGGGGATGTGGGGTATGGCGGGAGATGGTGAGGAAAGGGAGAAATTGAAGAGCCCTCACATAGCTTGCACACACAAACCACACACAGGGAGGTTATCTACACAACTACACAGAACTTCGCATAGAGAACCTCATGCACACCATTCCCCCCCCCCCCCGGGCCCCAGCCTCGCACTCATCCCCCCCAACCCCCCTCCACACGCACGTGGCGATAGATCTCAGCGGGCGTCTTGGGAGCTTCCTCCTCCTCATCGTCGTCGTCGTCATCACCTTCCTCCTCCAGCAGCCCGTCCTCCAGCCCCTCCAGGTGCACCTTGGCCGTGTCCACGTGCCCGTCCAGAATGCTCTCCAAACTGGGGAGAGGAGACGTGCAGAGGCATGAAGATGGGGGGGGCAGCACACAGACAGACACACAGACGGACAGAGAGATCAACCAGGCCCTAGCGGCGGAGGAGTGGCCGGCCAGGGAGCCGGCTGACCCGTTCCCCATCGGTGACTTGCTCCAGGTTCTGGAGCCTGCGCTCGGGTTTTGAGGCGCCTCAAAACTGGACTTCTGGAGCCTGCGCTCGGGTTTTGAGGCGCCTCAAAACTGGACTTCTGGAGCCTGCGCTCGGGTTTTGAGGCGCCTAAAAACTGGACTTCTGGAGCCTGCGCTCGGGTTTTGAGGCGCCTCAAAACTGGACTTCTGGAGCCTGCGCTCAGGCACCATCAGGGTGCCCCTCCTAGCCAGCTAGGCCGCGTTTGTACCTTGACTATATTGCCCTGCCTGTACCTTTTGCTGCCTCATACGGAGGACCGTTCGAGAGACTCATGAGCACACGGGCCGCACAAGTCACGGGTAGGCAGTCACATACATAGCATGGCATGACATGTCATGACAGCGGGTCACGGTTATGGCATGCCCAGTATAGGATGGATGACAGCAAAGACATGCCATGCCATGACACGGTTTGACGCCTCATGGCACGGCATGGCAGGGCATGGCATGGCAGGGCATGGCAGGGCAGGGCATGTGTGAGGAGCAGGGGGTTCACTTGGTGGAGGACTGGCGGCGTTGGTGGGGCTTGGCTGCTCCTCCAAACTGCGCCATCCACCGCTCCATGCCCTGCACAAACTCCTCCTGCTTGCGGCGCAAACCAAACCAGCCAAAGGGCAAGCAAAGAAAGGAGAGGGGGGAGGGGGGGGAGGGGGCTTTAAGAGGGCTGCTGCTTCTACTGGACCCGGAAGCCAAACTGTGCCATCATCCACCGCTCAACGCTTGCACAAGCTCCTCCTGCTCGCACCTCCAAGAGTTGCACAAGCAAGTATGGGGAAGGACGAGGGAAGGAGCAGGAATACATAAGGGGAGCACGTACTCCCCACGCCAAGTTGGTTCTTAAGAATCCTCTCTCAAAAGCCAAACTCTGCTCATGGGGAGCAGTACTTAGTACTCACCACGCCAATCTCGCCATCGGAGTTGCTGTCGAATTCCCGCATCCACTCCTGGATCTGCGTCTCCGCTGGCACGTCGCCCTGCGCATTGCCGTGGAGAGAAGAGAACGGGAGGGGGCACATCCAAGGGAGGGAGCAAGAGGAGAGGAAAAGTGAGCATCCACTCCTGGATGTGCGTCTCCGCTGGCACATCGCCCTGCACATTGCCGTGGAGAGAACAGAACGGGAGGGGGCACAGCATAGGGAGGGAGCATGGGGTAACGGAGAGGGAGCATCCTCTCCTGGATCTGCGTATCTGGTGGCATATCGGCCCGTGCATTGCCCTGGAGAGAACATAATGAGGAGGAGCGTGTGGGGAGCGAGGGAGGGAGGGAGGGACGGACGGACGGACGGACGGACGGACGGACGGACGGAGGGAGGGGGAAACGGAGCGAGAAAAAACAGGTGAGAGTAAAATTGAGGCAGAGCAAAAAGTGGTAGAAGTTTTGGAGAGGGTCTGGCTGGCAACCCCATGAAACAGCAAACCACTCTCCCACATACGAAAAGAGGCACAAAGGCAAGAACATACCCAGACCACGCCACGAAGAGGCCCTCATGCATGCCTGCGCGCGCGCGCGCGCACATGCGCACGCGCACACGCACACACACACGCACGCACGCACACACACACCCATCCCCCATCCCCATCCATCCCCTCGCATCCCCTCGCACCCCCTCACACCCCCTCGCACCCCCTCGCACCCCCTCACATCCCAATCCCCTCACCCTCCCCTACCTGGTTCTGAATGCCAAGCCCCAGAATCAAGCCCTTGATATCGCTACTGGACAGCGATCCGCTGCCGTCCTCGTCAAGGTGCCGGAACAGCTTGTGCAGCGTGTCGTGGTCGGGGGAGCGGTCGGGGCCAAGACCCCTGGACAACGCCCAACCAGTCCCCCCATCCTATCAGCCCCATCCCCTCAAACCCACCTCCTCACCCCCCTCGCTTCAACCCCCCTCCCCTCACTCCCCTCCCCTCACATCCCCAACCCCCATCCTCCCCCCCCTCCACCCCTCCGCACCTGGTTCTGAATCCCCAGGCCAAGAATCAAGCCCTTGATCTCGCTCTTGGACAGCGATCCGCTGCCGTCCTCGTCAAAGTGCCGGAACACCTTGTGCAGCGTGTCGCGGTCCGGAGTCCCGTCGGGCCGCACGAGGCCGCCCCAGGTGTTCTTGAGCGCGAGGTGGTGTAGGTCGCGAATGGCCATGGTGCGCAGGTAGTGCACGCGCGCGTACTGGATCTTGCTCGCCTGCAGCCAGGGGGATAGCACCTGAAAAAAGGGGGGGGGGGTGGGGGGGGGGGGGGAGGAGGGGAGAGGAGAGGTTGGGGGGGGAAGGAAGGGGAGGGAGTGGAGGGGACTGGGTAGGGAGTCTGCACCAGCATGTGCTGCCAACACTAAGAATCAGCGACATCACTCCCAACATCCACTCTTCAACATCACTGCTCCACCAGCCCACCTGTTCCTCACTCACCCATCAGCCCGCCAGCCCGCCAGCCCGCCAGCCTTCCAGTCCGCCAGCCCACCAGACCACCAGCATCACACCATCGCGTACCTGGTACGCGCAGTACTCTAAATAGGAGACGCCTCAAATCTACCACCAAACCACCAAACCACCCTCACACACCTGGTACGCGCAGTGCTCTAAATAGGAGACGCCTCAAATCTACCACCAAACCACCAAACCACCCTCACACACCTGGTACGCGCAATACTCTAAATAGGAGACGCCTCAAATCTACCACCAAACCACCAAACCACCCTCACACACCTGGTACGCGCAGTGCTCTAAATAGGAGACGCCTCAAATCTACCACCAAACCACCAAACCACCCTCACACACCTGGTACGCGCAGTGCTCTAAATAGGAGACGCCTCAAACCTACCACCAAACCACCAAACCACCCTCACACACCTGGTACGCGCAGTACGCAACGAGCCCTGCGAACGACAGCAACAGCCCCAGAAGCGCGGCGAGCTTCGACTGCTGCTCGTAGTACTCCCCACTGGCGCCGTCCATAAGCGGGATCTGCATGATGACAAACGGCACCACGGACCCCATCATGATCCACGCGCCGATCCGCGTCTGCTCGTCCGTCGTCACCCCCGTCTTGTAGATATTCCACGGGCGGGTGAGCGTCCGGTCTTTCGCTATCAGGACCACGCCCGTCCCACCACCACCACCACCACCACCAGCACCGTCAATACTGCCGCTGCTGCTGATGCTGCTTTGGCGGCGGCTGCCGGCAGCGGGCTTCTCTATGAGGTCGCAGCGGCCGCAGATGAGCGAGCCCCCCCACGCGATGGTGAGGATCATGATGGTGCTGCCGGCTAGCACGCCCATGCCCACTAGAACTTGCTCCTGCGCCTCCTCCTTGGTGCCGCCCACACCGGACACCTGGTGAAGGGTGGGGGTAAGCGGCGCAGGAAGAAGAAAAGCGGATCATGATGGCGCTGCACGCAGTGATAGAAGTCTAGTTTTGAGGCGCCTCACGCAGCACGCCAGCAAGGTGCGAGTAGGAGGCGCCTCACGCAGCACGCCAGCAAGGTGCGAGTAGGAGGCGCCTCAAAACTAGGATCATGATGGCGCTGCACGTAGCACGCCAGCAAGGTGCGTTTGAGAATTCTCAGCACGCCCATGCCCACTAGCATCTGCTTCTGCGCCTCTTCTTTGCTCCCCCCCACGCCAGGCACCTGCGGGGAGAGGGGGGAAAAGGGGGGAAGGGGTGGGAGATTGAAGGTGGGGGGGTGGGAAAGGGGCGGGAGATTGATTATTGTGCTGCCGGCTAGCACCCCCACGGCCATGAGCACTTGCTCACTGATACATGCGCCTCCTCCTCGGCACCGCCCAACCACGCCTGACACCTGCTGGGGGATGGGGGGCAAGGGAGCGGCAGGAGAGTTATGGTGCTGTAGATGAGGCGTAGGGGAGGAGCAGGGCAGTTATGGAACACGCAGAGTACTGGCTAGAGAAAGAAAGGGAAAATAAAACACAACCTTCCCCCTCGCATGCGCGTACACGCACGCACACACACAGACACACAGACACACAGAGATACACACACACAGACACACACACACACCCTCTCTCTCACCGGAGTTCAGCGCAGCACAACGTACGAGGATAAGCAGTGTGTCTGGCAGGGCGCCCAGCACTGGCAGCAGCAGCCCGCCTATGAGCCCGGGGTCCAGCACCTGCACGCACAGCATTGCATGGCATGCGGGTGGGAGGGAGGGAGGGACATGGGAGAATGAGAAAGCGACAAATAGAGCTTCCCTCCCCCCTCCCTCCATAACCCCCAACCCCCCTAGCCCACCACCCCCCTTTTGACTCTAGAGAAGCCCGGGGTCCAGCATGTGCACTGCATGCATGACATCGCATGCGGGAGGGAGGGAGGGACACGAGAGAATGAGAAAGCAAGAGAATGGGAGAGCAATACATTGAGCGTCTTCCCTCTCCCCTCCACAACCCCCAACCCCCCAACGCCCTTTCGACTCATTTGCACTCCTCCACCTTCCCATATTATGTCTGTTCCCCGCGCCACCCACCCCCCCTGCGCACGCCCCCCCCACCCCCCCCTTCTTCCCCTTTCTCCCTTGTGCACTTTTTCAGCTTCGATCTGTTTTGAGATACTTCTCCCTGAGAACAACGTCTTTCCCAACCCCCACCCTCTTCCCCTCCCGCATTTCCCCAACCCCCCAACCCCTCCCCACTCCTGCATACCCCCCCAATCCTGACCGATTATTTCTTCATAACTGACATTTTGTTTCCGTTTTCACAAGCCCTATATTTCCCCATCCCCTCAACCTCCTTCCATCTGCAGCAGCAGCTCGGAGCCTTCGCACCCGCCTCCTCCTCCCCGCACCAGCTCACGCTCCCCCCTTCCCCCTCCTCCAAATCCCCCCATCGCTCCCCCCCAAGCGATATCTGCAGCAGCAGCAGCCCAGAGCCTTCGGAGGTGAGCAGCGGGTCGACGGACACGAGGTAGCCGCCATCCCGATCACACGCCAGTTCCTTTCCCCTCACCCCTTCCCCTTTTCTCCCCCCCCCCCCCCTCCCCCACACACCCCTCCCTTTCCCCCCTTCCCCCCACCCTTCCCCCGCACCTGCAGCAGCAGCTCGGAACCCTCGGAGATGAGCTGCGCGGCGACGAGCACGAGGTAGCCGTACGCCGCCATGAGGAACGTGTTGCCTGCCACGCTGCTGCTGCACGGCAGCAGGCCGTAGACCTCCCTGCACGGGGGGGAACGGGGGGGAGGAGAGGGGGGAGGAAGAGGGAGAGGGGGGGGGTGGTGGGGGGGGGGGGGGTGTGGGGCGGAAGAGCGGGAGAGGCGGACGAAAGGGAATGTGGGTGTTGGGAAGTTAAGGACAACGACGGAGAGAGGAGAGAGTAGGAGGGAGGGACGAACGGACGGCAGTTCTCCAAGAAATGCAAGGCGGAAAGCGGCGGGGGGGGGGGGGAAGGGGGGGGAGGGACGGGGTGGGGGAGGGGGTGAGGGGGGGAGCAACGCTGAGAGAGATTCAAGAGCCACGATCGCAAGAAATTAGTGCATGCACGGATCGATTCCAGAGGTCTAGGGGAGAGACACACGGAGGGAGGTCTAGGGGGGTAATGCCTTACTCGCACGCCTCCTTTGGCTCCGCTGAACTCCCTCCATGGTCGCTCCCTGCCCCCTCGCCCCCCACCAACGGAGAAATGGCGGCAGAAACGCTGTCCCCCAGCAGTTGGCGCAGGACCTTCCGCGAGGATCCGGGGAGGTTGAAACGCGCGGCGGAGGGGGAGACTGGGGGGAGAAGGCGCGGGGAAGAACGCATGGGGGAAGACGGGTACGGAGGAACGGGAGGAGCAGGGGGCGCGGAGGGAGAGTGAGGGGGAGTGGGGGGAAGAATGACGGATGAATGAATGTGCGGTCCAGTCTTTATGAAACAAATCCCCCTGTAACGAAAAGTTATTGTCTCCTCCCCGTTTGATCCTGCCTTTCTGATAAAATTTCCTCCTTAAGGCGTTTGAAAGCGCGACTTGGCGTCGAACTATTTGATCCTAAGTGTAGAAGCTATAGAGAATTCACGGCCCGCCGAACTTTCACAACCGGGCCCGCCAAATGGCGTCTCAGAGAGAGGGAGACAAAAAAAAAAAAAAAAAAAAAAAAAAAAAAAAAAAAGGGGGGGGGGTCGTGGATTTCGCAAATCCGGCGATTTCGAAACTGATTAGAGGCGCCACCGAATGCGGTTTACATGGATCAGAATCGCGGTTTACCTGCATTCACAGCTTTAATAGTCGAGGTCAAATAGCCACTTACTAAAAGACGCGGCTGGTAACGAAAGAGCCGTCGAAAAGCACGCACCTGCGAATGTGGCGAAGGTAACGCAAACAGCTGCGAGCAGGAGGACGACCCCGATATGCACCTTCATCTTCGTTTTCATCTTCATCGATTTCTTCACGGGCTTCCTACCAGAACCACTACTTACTAAAGTACTGCTAGTAGCAGTTCGACGACACATGGTCGCCGCCATAGCCAACCCCATGCTTAATGGCCGCCGCGGGCTGCTATGCTGCTACCACAGTCGCGCTGCTGCCCAAGCAGCCGGTTTGACTTGCGTAGTACGCGGCGGGAAAAGGTAAATAATGTACTTTGAGAAACTGGAAGTGAGGTGCATGCAAGGAGAGGCAAGCTTCTAGTCGAATGCTGAAGCTGGATCACGGTTCACAACTGTGGGTGGAGAGAGAGTGAGAGGCAGAGAAGCGGGAGACAGGAGGAACAATGAGCAGGACCATGCGACATGAACGAACACACGCATTGACGAAGAAATGCTAGCGGACGACGGATCCCCACAGCAAGCCTCAGATTGTTGTGGTCTGGAAGTTACCACTCTGATCTGGTCTGAACTGAAGGGAAAGCTTCGACTGTACGTTGTCGCAATGTTCTGTGCACATTGATTGTAACAGCCTGGAACTGTACACGCACAGTCAAGGTCCCATCACATCGCAACGCACTCTTGCCTCGGATGCCATTGGCTGCGGGTTGGCTTCGCTGCCAGTCGCACGCCCTTCCTCCACTGCGCGCCTAGCTCGCACAGCTGCCCATGGTCCACAGTCATCTGTCCATCCTGGATTCAGAAAGATCCTCCCCGGACAGAGGCAGCGGCATTGTGGGAAACTTCACAGGGTGCTGCCCATAGACGTAAAATAGTTCCGTTCCCACTCTCCAAGCCCGCTGAAGCCTGCGTGCTTGATCCTTCCTCCGGTCCATACAACTCTTCAAGTGCTTAAACTCAAACCTGTACCGGGCACAAAATTGTAGAAATACGCCCGTGAAACCTTTTGTCACCTACAGTATCAGCCCACTGGGAGAAGACACTTGCATGGCAAATTCGGCCCTGGATGACGCCTTTGTCTCATCCCGTTAGGAAGAGGACCAATGCGCCCTATGTTTATTTCTTCGAATGTGGATAAGCAAGCTCAAGTGCATTCCAACTCATAGTAACTTATAGTGATAGAAACCAATCACTTCTAAATTATCCATCACTTCTCACCCATATTCAGTTCACTCCTAGGGATTTTCTGGGTGAAAGGATGGGATTGACTGACAGGAAGTACTATGAAAATCCCAACGAGGGGTAGGAAGCTCGAGGCAAGTTTGTGACCTTTTCCCCAGTTTGTAATCTGTTGTCTTCCTAGTTCCAACTATTCACACATGGTGTTCATGATAGACAACTGTACTGCAGTATTTCTAACACAGGAGCTAACATTGGACATAAGCTCTTGCAAATTCAGTTCAATTAATGACACAAAATCAAGCAAATATGTTTTGTGTTGAAACACCTAAAATAGTGTTAAAACTCGCAGCCCGAATTGCGAGGCGCGGTATTCAAACACACCGGGTTTGAAAGTAGCGCTTTCGTGGGTGTAGAGTGGGGTAACGTGAGTCTCGCCACTCTGGGGCTGCCTTTCAAGTTCACTGCGTGCTACAATTTGGAACTCCATGTGTACTATTGTGATAAAGTCGTACTTCAACATTTCTGTCAGTAATCCCGATAGATATTGTCGAGTTACACTGTAGTTAGCATCCGTAGAACGGCGTCAGCAAATAGCACTCGTCTGGATGATTACGTCAGCAAGCCGTTTCAGTCACGCGAACAGTCGCGCTCTTTTCAGTAGCGGTTAGAGCGCATAGCACAAATAGCTCGAACAGGTACATCACCGAATAGGTACTTATAACAGATATAAAAGTAGCTTGTACAACTTCAATTGTTAACTTGTTCTTCAGTAAATTATTCTCAATACTTTACAAGTTCTAAGACTTCCGCTGTCTTACTAGTCTACCATTCCAGCAAAGATCCTCGGTTAAGTCTTGAAGTATCGTAAGGCTGTAACACCAACGCTGCTATTACAACTTGTTAATAGTGGCTGTTGTTGGAGGTACTTCCAGTATTACTTTCTACTTCAAGTACTTGTGTCTGCAGATTCTATAATTAGTCTCCTGCACCACCTTTCAAATTCTTTCATGGTATGAGAGTTGTCTGGAATTAAGACTATCGTCAATCATGACTGGACCATCGACGGCTCCATCATCTGGTTCCTCAACAAATGGACCTACGGGTATTACAAAGCCTACAGTCAATACTGGTCAAGCAAGTAACTCTGCAGCTAGAAATTTTCCACCTGCTTATTCTTCAATTGGGATGCCGCAACAGCAGCAAGGTTTGCCTACTGTGCATCCACCGGGGACTTCGTCATCTGTTCCTGCAACATTACAGCAACAAGCAGCAGCATCAATATCAGCGGCTTTCAGTGGTATGAGCATTGATGGCTCCAGCTATGCAAAAGCTGCAGCCGCTCTAAGCTCCAGTTCTTCGTTTGCGTTTACACCTGCTCAACATCAACAATTTCAATTTCTTCAACATCAGCAGCAAGCGCAACAACAGTTTCAGTAACAACAGCAACATCAACAACAACAACGGCAACCGCAACAGCAGTTTCCGCAGCAGCAGACTTCTCTCGCTGGTCCTGTCTTCCAGGCACCGAACCATTTAAGCAATACACAGATCAAGACAACTATACATTTTAATGGCGCTGACTTCTACGCCCGGGGTTTTGAATTCGAGCTCTTCACGAAATCCGCTGGATTGTGGCCGTTCTTTAGTGGCGATTATTCGTATCCTGTTACGGGAACACAGACGGAACAACAGAGTTTTCTTCATTCTTCAATCAGCGCTTACACCGTCCTTATCCGCAATCTGTCGCTGAAAGAGCAGCTTGGTATACGCTCTCTTCACACCAGTTTGACTCTAGCAGAACCTGCATGGAAGCATTTGAAGGGATTATACATGGCACAGGATACAATTTCCGTGAGTAAAATTCTCTCACAACTGACAACTGTACAGATGCAGGGCAACGAGAACGTTTTGGATTATATCAACAGGGCTCGAACACTTCGTGACTAATTGGAAAAGTGCGGCGGATACTTCCCAAAGGACATGTTTGTAACAGTCCTTCTTGCCGGTCTTGGAGCAAAATGGCGGCAGTGTCGATCTCTTCTTCGTCTTCAACCAAATCTTTCGGAAACAGAAATCTGCTCAATCCTTCAAGCAGAGCAGCAAGATCTTGACATGCGGACAGCACGTAATAAAAAGGGAGCAGTTAACATCAGTTTTTATTCAACGCCCACGAAACGCGTCAACAAGTTCTTCTGCCACTACTGTAAGGATGGACACAGCATAAAATTTTGCAACAAGCTTCAAGCTGATAGGAAAAGAGGAGTGCAGCAGCAGTCGTAGCAGTTCAAGCAACCCGTGAAGCAGAATCCACCAACAACAACTCTTGCAACATCAGGAAAACAAGTTTTCAGCTGCGTTACAACAGTTCATGCAACAGACTCCGATTTCGATGATGAAGATAACGAAAACTCCATCGAGCAACCTGAGAACATGATTTTACCTTAAGTATATGCCAACCTTGCTCGGGTTATTGCGGGACCAAACATTTGGTATCTTGACAGTTGTTGTGGACAACACATGTGCTCTGCCGAAACGCTATTCATTACTCATCAGCGTCCGCTTCGACGTCCAGTACCTGTCACACTTGCAAATGGACAAACCATTATGGCAAGGTCAATCGGCAGCGTTATGTTGGATTCCGTGGACACAGGTTTTTTCTTCCATGTTACGAATGTCCTTATCATCGCTGGACTTGGCTTTAATCTTCTTTCAACGGCTCAACTCCTGCGACATAGGATCCGTACACAAGGCAATTGTGAGACAATGGACCAGGAACTTTATCACAATGATACAAACACTTACATCAGGAGAGCCGCCACTCTGTATGGGGTCTCCGTTCTTCAATTCGAGTCACAAGGAACTACTGGATCTTCTGAGAGAGTGTTATCTCTTGGACCTTGGCAACATCCCGAAGAAACTGATTTTCAGAACGTTGACAACGATTTCCGTGCAACCGCAGTTCCAACAGGATCTCGTACAACAGTAGCGATTATAACGGCTGTTGATTCCTGGCCAACAAACACAGCCGAGGAAGATACATCAGCATGGAGGAATTACTATGACACTTTACAACAACTTGAAAACAAAGCTACAACACCTTGGGGACCCAGCAGCATCAGTGAAGAAGAGGAAGCAGAGCAGCAGAGTAGCAGTGAAGCAGAAACAGGGGTTCTCGTTGGTCAACCTGCAGCAGATTCAACAGAAACGGAAATTGAGGAAGGGGAATTAGTTCTTCAACCGGAAGAAGTTCTTGATGTGGAAATTACAACCACAAAGTTACCTCTTACTCGCTTTGTTCCTGGACAACTCGACGAATTACCAGCGTTTTCTCCTTTCATCGTTTCTTCATTTTATACTAACGCCGATTTTTATCTGCGATCAACAGGACACAAAGCAACATAAGAGATTTGGCATAAAAGGTTAGGACATCCTTAACCGGAAATACTTAACCATACTATCCGACAAAAACAATTTACAGTCTGCACCATGTGCACAACTGCAAATCTTCCGCACGAACCCTTTCCAAGTCACTTTCTGGGTTCAACTTGATACACACTTATGCAGAAAGCTTATAGCGACATCCTCAACTTACCTAAAGCAGGACCTAAGGGGGATTTATATAGAAGCCTCGAGTATCCCCCATCGAGGCTTCATCGAGGCTTATATATATGTATCCCCCATTTAGCCCGTTCGGAAAATTTTCCGAGTGCTGCTGTTGGAGGTCGATATTGAACGATGCACCCAAAAACTCTTAAACGTTTTGTGTTGCCAACCCTTTTTGTCCACTGTAGGTTTGGCGAAGAAAATTGCGGAAGGGACGTTGTCGACAGCAAATTGTGCAGAAGAATTGCATGGTCCAAAGCGTAAGTCCAAAAATGGGGTGGCAATGCTGCCTGAGTCAGCAAGACTCGCATCTTCTCTTGCAATGCCCTGTTCATCCTTTATGCTACCCCCATTTGTTGATGCTGATGGGGCGGAGAAGCCTTCTGCTTCTACTCTACTCGTCTTCGCGTGCCTTTGCTTCTAACGACGCCGAAGTAGATGTACAGGATGAGTCCGTGGCTGAGTCCTCCGAAGCTGCCACAGACATCCCCGTGCCAACCACGTCAGCTAGAACAGCTGAATTTATTCCACTCAGCGAAGCAGACTCCGAGGCTGTTCGCGATGTGGTTCTTGATTACGAACGCAACCGTCAGCAGCAGCCCATGCCAGTTGT